ATATATAATATATATATAAATATATAAAATATATGAAAAATTGATGTGGGTACTCAAATAAAAGGTCTCGATAAGTACAATGTCGAGATGAGCTTATATCTTTAAAAATGTCAATAGTTCAGGAGATATAAAGTAATTTCTTAATTATGTATTTAGAGGTAGAGAATTTTTAATTTGATATCTAATTTAATATAAAAAATTTGTTAAAAATTTTGACAAATATTTTATTAAAAAAAATTGATTTTTATTTAATTTTAAGTGTAACTTAATGAAGGATAACTAAAATGAAACTACCAAAAATTATCAAATCAAAACTATTTATTAATCTCGAGGCTCTAATATATATTCAATAATCGACATTACACTGATATTTAATTAATAATAATTAATAATTAAATTTATAAAACCCACTCCTCTAATAACTAATAAATTTTATATAAAAATCAAGAGTATAAAAATACAAAGACCTATTAAACAGAATAACTGATAAACAAACCCTTGAAATCATACCAAGGGTTTTAAATTCAATATATATCTTCTCTAGTTATTCAATATATATTCAATATTAAACATTTAATATACACTTTAAATGCATTTGTATAAATATATAAATTTATGTTAATAAAAAAAAAAAGTGAGACTTTTTAAAAAAAGCCTCAATAATTTTGAAGCTATTTTTTACAATAAATACAATCATAATAATAATTAAAATAATAATAATAATTGTTATAAGCATAATAATTTGAGGAGTGTGGTTTTTCTGTTTATATTTAAATAACTAATTCGTTTGCTGCGTAAAAGTGACGCTGATGAATATTTAAATATGAACATTGCTAAAATTGTTTCAATATAGTTATAATTATTATTAATATTAATAGTTATTGTAGCTATAATAATAATTATTAATCTAAACAGTAATGATAATGACTTTAGGAAATACGGAAAAATGTTTAAATAATAAACTACATTTGATAATATAACTGTATTTAATTTTTTATATTTATATTTTAGCCGGGATAAGCGAATGAGCCCCGAGGTTTGAAATAATTCTCACGTGAGTAGTGTATCGTCCAACTCCTCTATTTTTCCTTCTGGTTGGGACAACACTTTGCGCAAGACCTTGCTGACCACGTCGGAGAGAGACTCTCGAGCACCTGGATCCAGGAGTGCGATGCATCGCTGGAAGATAACGTAATACAAGGTAAGCACACAAAGTAATGATTAAGATCATTGATTAAAGGATTTATTTGGGGTAATTTAAATACCTGGTGCTCTTCGTCTCCGGTTTTTAGTCTCAGTACTGCAATAAGTGCTAATTCACTGTTTGCTTTTACGTAGCCGTTCTTTTCCTTGGTTCCATTAACAAGCATGGGTAGTAGAGATTTTAGTAAATCCCCTGACATTTTTTCTGGTGGGATATTACGAGCTAAGTGGATACAGACCCGGGCTAGTAATTGTTTTACTTCGTTGCTGTTGTTGTTCATTGACTGAAAAATTGAACAGAGTTTTTTAAAAAAAAAATTTTGGCTCAATTTTATTTAAAATTTTTTAATTAAAAATTTAATTTGGGACTACGTGACTGCTCAAAATTAAGGATTCTAAATGAGAATATTTAGACTTGATAATTTTTTGATATTTATGACACTATACATAGTCTGGGTACTTTTTAAATAAATTTTAAAAATAATAGTGCTATCACAGGATCAATTACTAATTATTTAATGGACAAATGTCACGGAACAAATTTATAGAACCAGCAAGCTATTAAAAACTCCTCCAAAAACTTTAAATAAAAAATTGACTACTAAAAAATATATTAAACCAAAAGGCACTAATTCTTATGAAGACCTTTCTGATGATACCAAATTAAACTACAAAAATTCCTTTAAAAATAATAATATGCTCGTCGGAAAATTTTCCTTACTCTTTAAATTATTTAAATCATAAATGACTATCGCTGAAAAAATATCAAACCCAATTTACGATAAAGATATACCCGTTTAAAATTTTTCTTAGTCTCTTAATTATATAAATTAATTTTTGACAAACCACATTTACATGTACAAAACAAAATAAATAAATAAACAATTTTTGTTTATCGCGAAATTCTAATCTGTTTATACTTCAAAAAGTTATCATAATAAACTATTTTAGAAAAGGAAATGAAACATTTAAAATGCACTAATTCAAGAAATGAACTTGTATCTTGTGAACTATTGACATTTGGTGAGTATATCATCGGGATGAGCTTATATTTTTAAAAATCTCAATAGTTCCCAAGATACAAGGCCATTTCTTAATTATCTAGAGATATTTTCAAATGTAGTCGGTGAGAATAGTATAAAACCTTGAAAAGGCACAAATTTTCTAACGATACCAAATTTACCCATTTTATCTAAATACACTGGCCAAAAAATTTCGCTTATTTTCTCAATAATATAATAAAAAACTCACCCTGACAAATGGCGTAAGAATAGCCTGAGGAACAGGTAACCCCTCGCTCATAAGATACTGAAACAAATATCCACAAGCTCTAATTCCATTCATAGTAATTTGAACCCTGTCGGCTTGTAAATAGGACAAAATAATCTTGCAAACTCGGTCTTGCTCCTTAGACCCATAAACAGTCGCGGGAGATTCTTTAAGAATGACGAACAAAGCAGTAGACCTTCCATGCCGCAATTGCCAGTCAGCATTGACATCATGACTGAGCAAGTGCTCATTGCAAGCACTGGCAAATTGCTCCGGAGACAGCCAGCGCATCAGCGCTCCGTAGCATCCAGCTGCAGCATTCCTGGTGGCATCTTCCGGGTGTCCTAGCATCGAGCTGAGTGTTACGAACACTTGCTTCCTCATAACGTCAGTCATTTTGTCTCCCGCTGGAGTGATCACTCCTCTTAGAGCTTGCAGCATCGTCTCACGGATCGCGGGGTCGTCCGAGTTTTTAATCGCAGAGTGTAACTCTGCAAACAGAGGATCAGCTCGCGTGTGGATCACTATCAAGTTACTGAGAGCGTAAGCTGCCTTCAGTCTCACTTGTCTGTTGCTGTCGTTCAGCGCCTTGAGGAAGGTCGTCTGCAATTGTGGCAAGAATTGCTTCAGCATCACTCCGACTTTTCCTAAAAGAATTGCTAGAGTCTCCAGCACCGCTGCTTTTACGCTCCAGTTGAATCTGTCACCTAGGATCCGGATCAATGGACCCGTTATGTGGACTACGCTGGGTTGTAGAGCTGCTGCGCTGGTTAGCTTTATCACTTCACCAAGACCTTGAGCTGCCTGCTCCTTTGCTTCTGGCAAGCCGTTTAGAATCGCCTCTCGGAAGATTGGAAGGATAGGAGTGATTCCTTTTGGTAGACAAAATCCTGGAAGAAATGCATTAAATTAGTGTTTTTTTATTAAGAATTATAATTTAATTTTTAAAAATTGGGATTTTTTTTTTGACAAGAAATAAAAATTTTAAAAAGATCCAGGTAAAGTAGTCAAACTTTTAAAACTGAAAATTTAATCTCTAGGTAAATAATTAAAAAATGACCTTGTATCTTGAGAACTATTGACATTTTTAAAGATATAAGCTCATCACGGTGTTAGACTCATCGAGACCTTTCATTTGAGTACCCACATCAATTTTTCATATATTTTATATATTTATATATATTATGTATATAAATATATGAAAAATATATCAAAAATGCATGTAGGTACTCAAATGAAAGCTCTTGATGAGTGTAACATCAGGATGAGCTTATATTTTTAAAAATATCGTAAGTTGACAAAATGTAATATTATTTTTTAATTATTGACATTTTTAATGATACAAGTTCATCTTCATGTTACACCCATCGAGACCTTTTATTTGAGTATCCATATCAATTTTTCATATATTTTATATATTTATATATATTATAAATATGTATATATGAAAAATATATCAAAAATGCATGTGGGTACTTAAATGAAAACTCTCGATGAGTGTAACATCGAAATGAGTTTATATCTTAAAAAATGTCAGTAATTAAGGTATGACCTTGTATCTTGTAAACTATTAACGTTTTTAAAGATATAAGCTCATCCTGATGTTACACTCATTAAGACTTTTCATTTGAGTACCTGCATCAATTTTTCATATATTTCATATATTTATATATATTATATATGTACATATGAAAAATATATCAAAAATGCATGTGGGTACTCAAATGAAAGCTCTTAATGATCACAATATTAGGATGAGCTTATATCTTCAAAATTATCAATAGTTAAGAAAGTACAGTGCAAAAATCTTATTAAGTAATTTAAAGATGTATAACAAAAACATTATTTTTATAGACATTTCTTACACTAGTAAGGTACTTGGATCTCCTTTTTAAAAATAAATTTGTCTTTTAATTTTTTATTAAATTTCAAATTAAAATTCTTAAATTGTCTTAATCTAAAATAATCAAAAAACAATTTACTATAATAAAAATTTAAATTCCTTCAGAAAAGAAATAAAATAAAAAAATTACCTGGAAGCAATTCCTGCCCCTTAAGATCCGAAGCAGCAAACCTAACAGCCTGCCTAATATCTCCCAAATGCGCAATCTGCTGATCAGACTCCAAAGTCTTAGTAACAGCAGACAAAGCTTCCCAGCTCTTCTGCAAGACCTCCTTATCATCATCAGTAAACAAATGAATCAATCCTCTCAACAACTGCGGAACATACTGACTATAATCAGCCCTAGTATCTCTACAAAAGGCACAAAGCAGGGTAGCAGCACCTCTTCTCCTCGAAGGATCCTCCGCCTTAGTAGCATCCATCAGCTGGTCCATGACAGTCCTGACCCCGACTTCATCCGTAACAGAAAGCACCACAGCCTGACAATACTCCAGTTCCTGAGCTTCATTCTCCGACCCTTGCGCACTAGAGAGCGCCATTAGCAAAGCCGGAAGAATTTTATGAAGATACCTAGTGAGCGCTTCTCCAGCGACACTCGCTAAAATGGACAGCGCCTTGGTGTTAACCGGCGCACTGGTCAGCTGGGGAACCAAATAGGGTAAAACTACTCTAGACTTGATGGCCATCACCTGGCGAAGTCCATCAAGAGTATTTTCAGCTTCCTGAGGGTCAGGAGAGTTAAGCTGGACTAACATAAGCGGCAGAATATCATCCAGAGCTCTAGCTCCAACTGTTGAATGCAGACTATCAAAAGTCTTAGCCGCTGCCTGACGAACTTCTGGAAGAGGGTCGCTCAGCGCTTTACGGACTGTCGGGACAAGACTGTTGACAAAGGTCAGGACCATGTCCTTGCTGGTGCTGGCCATAATTTCGGACAATCCAATGCAGACACCTTGCCGCTGGTCCGGCTGGTCACTCAGCAGTCCTCGTTCCAAAATGGGAATTATCTCCGGCAAAACTCTCTCTCCTAATTTTCTGACCAGGTCTCCGAGAGTCCGGGCAGCAACCTGGCGCTTGTCGTAGCTGGTGCTGGCCAGACACCCGAGAAGCAGGCTGAAAAGCGTGGGCAGAATTTCTCTGAGTGTCCTTGGAGTGTTGGTCACCACAACCTTCCATACATGAAGGGCAGCTTGTCTGACCATCAGTGCAACATCTGACCTGCCCATATAAAGGCCAGCCAAGACTCTGTTCCTCCTTTCTGCACCCAGGGCGTTGATTATCGCGTGGTGGGACTGCTCAGTTCCAAAATTGTCATCCTCGCTGGCCGTTTCTGTGGACATTTTTCCAGAAACTCCGGAGATGCGGTACAGCAAGTCTCCTAGGAGTTGAACAGAGGAGTAGCGGATTCGCCAATTGTCATCAAAGAGCCCGCGCTCTAGCTCTGGAAGAAGTAACATTATTGCTGAGTCTGCGTAGAGAGTCACAATTCGCTGCCCAGCTCTTAGAGCAGTTTCTCGGACGTATTCATTCTCGTCTGCTAGTGCTTTAAGGATTGGATTGATTATCTGCCCAATATAAGGAGTAAACTCCGTTGTGAAGGCGTTGGGCATGTAAATGAACATCATTATGTATCCATCCTTGACATGCGGAGCAATGTCGGTTCTTTCTGCAGTGCTAATAATTTCCGGCATTAATTTATGCAATTTTTCAACTCCCAAACCGCGGACTACCTCGGAGAGACCTTGGGCAGCGCCTGACCGGTCGACGCTGCTGGTTTCTGAAGTTAGAGTTTGCATCAGCCAGGGGAGGAGATCTTCGAAGCTAGACTCGCCCATTCCGCGGACCATCGCGCCTAGAGCTCGGGCAGAAACTGATCTTACCTCCGGGACAGGGTCGAGGAGACTCATTTTGAGGCCTGGAATAATTGTGGGCAGGTAGGGGGTCAGGTCCTTTTGGTCGGTGAGGGAATACATGTTTCCGATGATCTGAGCTGCCATTTTACGGGTTTCGGTAGAGCGGTCCATAAATGCGCGCTGGACTACGGGCATTATTAAGGCGAGGGAGGGCGCGTCGATGAAGTGCACGAATTGGGTGTCTAAAAGGGTTTGCAAGCACATTGCTGTCTTGCGGGAGGGGTCTTGCAGCGCTTTTAATAAAACGGGGACGATAGCCTGGATTTCGGGGTTTCGGATGACACTTCCGATTACTTTGAGAGCTTCCGCGCCGGCTTCTTGGACTTTGGTGTGAGAGTCGCTTAGGACTTCTATTAGTTTCGGGACGATTGACGGCAAGCAGCTGCTTAGTTGCTTCGGGGCACAGTAGGCCATTGCTCCGAGGAGTTCGACGGATCCTAAAAAAAAAAAAATTTATAGATAATTTTTTAATTAGAAATTTTATTATAAATTTTTTAATTAAAAATTTTTAATACAAAAAAATAAAAAAAATTTAAAAACTGTAAGTGCAATTTTTAATAAATATTTTTTTGTTCTAATTTAATTAATTAAAAAATATAAAAAAATTAAAATTGTCAGTTAACTTAAGTATTATACAATTAAAACACTAATTCAAGTCTCCAATGATCCTAAATATAATTCTCAAAACTAATTTAATATTCTCTTACATTAACTACTTCAAAAAATTTCAAAAAGTACACCATACCTGTCTTAGTCCTCCAAGAGTCCTCTTCCAGCGCAGCAAGCAAGCTGGGCAATACCAACTTAACCCCATGAGCAGACAACTTGCTCATAACCACCCTGGCAGTGTCATCAGTGGCAGTCCTAACATACTGACTAGCGTCTCCAAAACATAGCAACAAATGCGGCAGTACATGAACAATATACGGCTCAAACAGTCTTCCCAACATAGTACAAAGCATTTCAAAGGCAAACAAAGCGCCCTCTCTGTGCCTATAATTCTTCTTATCCTGAATAGCGTTGGTAAGCTTGGTCATGATATCCAACTGCTTCAACGCTAGGATTCCCATTCCTTTAATAATCCCCGCCAACCCATAAGCTGCCCCTTTCCTCTCTCCATACTTATCAGACTTCAACAATTGGTCCATAAGATTATCCACAATTCTCGGCGCGTCCTCCTTTATCGACGGAACTAAATGCGGTAGACAATTAGCGACAGCTTCTTGAACTTGCTGCGAAGGAGTAGAGAGCGCTTTGATCAGTCTCATGACAATTGGCTTGATTCTGGGGTCATCCTTGTCCAAATGTCTAGCCAGAGAGCCCATAAGAATGACAACAGACTGTTTAATCGCGTCAAAGCTTCCTATTTTGGGAGCTTTGTCCATAAAATCTTCAAAAACAGGCAACAGAGACGTAATATTGTCCTTCCCGTGATGATCCACAGCCGCGAGGGCAGCAGTGAGCATTTCCTGGCGCACTGACGGGTTTCTATCACCTAAGCCAGTGGAAACAAAGAACTGGATCAATAAATTAATAGTATCAGCCGTCAAGAGAGGAGCTAGTTGCGCCAAAGCAAGAGCAACTCCGCGTCTAGGTCCCCAGATATCGACAGGCTGCTCAACGACTCGGCCAAAGTCGTTCATCTTCGGCGGGATCATCGCCAGCTTCTCTCTATACAACTTCAACAAACTCTCCAGTATCTCCGGGACCAGGTGCGTGTTGTCAGTGAGTAAATGCGCAAGCGCATGCGCAGTAGACTGCTGGACAGCTTCTACTGGATGAGCGACATCTTGAATCAAACTTTCGCACAAAATCTCGCCATTTGCTGTAAACTCAGCCTTGTCCCAGATCTCAGAAGCTAGAACCTTGTTCTCATCAGCAATATCAAACCTAGCGATCCAAATCCTGCGAGTCAGTCTCCAATATTGCTCGTAGTCTGAATCTTCAGTCGGGAAGTTATCATGGACTATCATCAGCGCTCGCAGCGCCGCATCACGGACTGCCGCTAAAGGATTCTCCAGTGCGCCTATCAAAGAGTTTATTTCTTCTGAGCTAGTCTCTGCTGTCCCTGGAGAACCGTCTCCAGAGTAAGCCACGTCCAGAAAGGTAGCTACTGCATGTGATTGGACGCGACCAGTTGTTGAACTCATCAACTCGATCAACAAGTCCAGCATCTCCTTTCTTGGAAGAAACTTAGGGTGCCTTGGATCCTTGCTGTCAAGATCTCCTCGCTGCTTAGCATGCTCCTGGATCACCTGGATGGAAAATAAATTAAATTAGTTGTCTTAAGTCGGTGGTTAAAAATTAATCAGCTTAAAGTCAATGTCAATAAAACGGTGTATATGATTTGAAAATTAAAAATGTTAGAGATAGCTGTATAATTAAAATTAATGATTGTCGAATTCAGTATGTAAAAGTAACAAAATATTTAGGTATATTCATTGATGATAATCTCAACTTCAATTCAAATGCTGATTACGTATTAAAGAAAATTGCAAAAAAAATTAGTGTTGTTGAACTATTTAGAAGAACTATTGAATAAATTCCAAAAACAACAAAATGAAGTGATAAGAGCTATAAGGTAAAGTACCCAGTATTTGAACACTTATAAAAATAGGACCAGTACTTGAACAGACTTTTTGAATTGTTATAATACAAAATCCGTAAATTTATTATGAGTAATATTGCACATATAATAATTATTAAATGATACAGTAATTTATTTCTGTAAGTTTTTTCAATTATAAATCAAACCAATTACATTTTTATTAACTTAAAAGTTGACATGTTGAGACTCGCCGATAGATGCTATTTTTTTTCATGAAAAAGGTACTAAATCGTAAACCGAACAATCAAAAAAACGGTATATTATTTTAAGTAAAAAAAATTGTACCATCTAATGAAGTAGTCTTTTCTAAATAACATATATTTTTTGCAAAGACATAAACTATAATTTTTATATTAAATTTTAGCGTTCAACTATACCTCAAAATTTTCAAAGCGGTACCCATAACCTGAAGAGGTTGAGGTCGTATAATTTTAACAGCACTATAACCTCTAATAGGTTTATAGACTAGTGATCAGCATTGTCATTTGTATTAATTACTGCAATTTAAATAAGTTTTATGACTAAAAATTAGTGTAGTTAAAAATTATTGAACGTTTTGAATAGAGTTTTTTTGATTTATAATTGAAAATTTGCTTTGTCATTCATAAAAAATGTAATTAAACAATTAAATACAAATATTTATCATTTTTAAATGAACATATTAAATATTCAGTATTATTTTTGATATTACTCAATAATATGTTATATTTCTTTAGATATTTCAATAAAACGTTTAAAATTTTTGGTCCAACTACTAAGGCTTGTCAGAACTGATTGTTCAACTACTCCTTTCATAGTCTATTTTAAAATCATTGTCAAAATATAAATAATCAATTATCTTTGTTATTTTGCTAATCAATTCAAAATTGTTTATATTTTCATTAAAATCACTTATTTGTAATAATTACATCTTTATATATTAAAAATAGGATCAAATAAGTTTTACTTTGAAACCTGTTCTACTGGGTACCTTACGAAAATATGTAAAAAGTAATATTGATATGTTTAATAAAATATCTGAAAAATGATAAATGTAAGTGTATATCGACGGTCTAATGAGCAATTTGTCTAACTCCTTATTTTTTAGAGGGTGATTTTTTAACATTTTGATGTAGCAATAATCCAATTATAAATTATTTAAATGATTTAAACCAAAATACTATACCTTTATTAGATTTTAATAATATTAAATGGTTTTTCAAAGTGATAATAAATTTTGAACTAATTGGTTTTTTCGTAATAATTGAAGATTTTCTAAAATGGAGTTAGACAATTTGCTAATTAGAACCTCGATATATGATATGTCTTGTAAATATGCATATGTAAATATGAATAGCTAAAAGCTAATGCAAAGTACAACTAAATAAATTATTTATTTAGATCTAATCACCTGAAGCCCCTGGGTGATCATGGCCTCGTCTTTCCAGCTCAGCAAAGTGTGTCCAATAAACGGAAAACAGTAGCAGAACCCTGGAGCATTAAACAGCACCTTTTGCTTAACAGTGCACCCATGAACCGCCGCAAGCGTCCTCTGGACGGCTTTTTCAAGCTCTTCTTCCTCCCAAGCAGGGTCCAGGTCGCACTGTGGCTGCTGCTGTCTCAAAGTAACATGCCCCACCAGCTCCTTCAACACACTATTCTTCGGAGACACCAGTTCAACTATTTTCTGCAGCTCCAAGTAAACCTGCGCCACCGTGGGAGCTGCCAGCGGCGAGGAAAGATTCTTCAGCAGCGCTGGGATCAGTTTACAGAAGAACAAAGCCAATTCTTTAGGATTTCCACGACTCAAAGCGTTAATCATCGACACAATGCGTGTTATTTTCTCAAACAAACCCTTAAGGCGGTTTCTAATCGCGTTTTCTTTAGCAGTCTGCGCCCTCAAAACTTCTTCTTGCTTCGGAGTAAGCTTCTGTTCCTTAATCTTTCCTTCACGCTTTCTCTTTTCATACAACTCTCTCCTGAGTTGCTGCTCCTCTAATTGTTCTTTAAAAGAATAAGCCTTGCTTTCACGCTTCATATTCATCGAATTCAAGATATCATCATCATCATTCCCCGGAACAACGCTTTTATCATACAGCTCGCCCTCTGGCGTTAGATAAATAAAGTACTCGTCTTTAGTAACCTTCAAAATTTCTTCATCACTTAGATAATCCGTGACTTCATTCATCATCTCTTCTAACAAGACGTCAGGGGAGAAAGAGACAATTGTAGCCACTGCATTTTCATAGGCAGCACTCGGCTGGTAGCTGTAAGCAAAAGTTTCTTGGATTTTAACAAAATAATCCGTAAAAAATGTCTGAGGAGAGAGTCCAGAATTACTGCAGATCTTCACCCACAATTTGGGAACTGCTTTAATGACAATTGGATGATGAGCGGGTATCAGAGCATCAAAAACGAGCTGATAAACCGGTTCCTCAAACAGAAAACTAGAAGAACAAATAGCCAGCAGGCCATCAGCCAAGCAACGACCATTAATATCATTGTTCTCTTTGTTGTCTTCAACAAAGCTATTGAACTCTTTAATTAGTGCCCTGCAAGGCTCATAGGTGCTCAGCCCAGTGAGCATCTTCTTAAGAATAGCAGCGCAGCGCCGCCTGGTGGCGGAATTATGTACCACGCAAACTACCAAGGCTCTATGAACGCCATTTAGAGCCTTTTCATTTAACCTATCGGTAAAGTCGGTAACTAGTACCTCACAGAGTTGCATTAAATGGAAAAGATTGTCATCGCTGCAAGTAGATAAAAATTTATCGGAAAAAAATACTTGCTCGTCAATTGCAGACCACAAAACACTCTGCTTGTTGTTGTCAACTTGCCCGGTAATTAATTTAAGCAGTAAATAAGAAGCGACGAGTCCTTCTGTGACTGCTGAAGCTTGCGTGGATTGTTGGGACGCGCGAGATATTGCTTGGGTTAATATTGGAGTTACTGTATCTGCGTGGGAGTTTATCGGGAGGGTAAACAGGAGTTTTATATAAGCTGTGCGCAATCCAGTGGTGGATGTCTTGGCGTTCATTGCTTTTTTGAAGGTTTCTATGATGTTTTTAGGAACTTCTGCGGAAAATTTCTGGCACCAGAGGCTCATCATCTCCAGAGCGTGGATCAGAGTCTTTTCATGGACTTCAGTGTCCAGGACTTTGATGAAATGACCACAGGCAGCTTCAGCGACCTTCTGGACGTTACTTCCAGCTGCGTTGAAGCTCAAATTTCCAGCTCCGGTTAAAACTGAGATTTTGTGAGTCGCTACGGTTAATTTTCCCTCCGAGCCGTGGAAAATTGCGAAGAGAAGGGAGAGAAGCTTCTCCAGAGCTTCTGTGTCAGAGCACTGGAGCGCTAAACGACGGCAAGCGTCGGCGGCTGAATCGCGGACTGAATCTTCCTTGGAGTGCAGGTTTGCGAATAAGCCTTTGGAGATGTCCTCGCAGTAGCGACTCAGGTCCAGGCTTAAGCCGGTCAGGATGTGCCCGACGGAGTCGATTATTATCTCAGGGTTGCGCAGCATCGCTTTTTGTAACGCTGGGAGCAATTGGTTCTTGAAATCTTCGTGGGTAAGACGCCGTAAAAAGGGCGTTGAGGAGTCCACTGTGAAAAGATCTGGCTTTTTCTTGCAGCTTATTGCGAGTTTTATGAACCCTTCGAGGATGCTGTTCTTAAATGGGTCGATTAATTCGTCCTTTTTTTGAGAGACCAAGTGTTTAATTAGCAAGCTTGAGAGGACTATCACTCCGTTGCTAGGCTCCATTTTTGAGAGGTTGGTGATGTAGATTTTTTCGGAGTTTTTTGTAGAGTTCCATAATTGGGTTAGAAGAGAGTAGACTTTTTTAGATAGTGAAGCGTTCGCGCTTGCTACTGCTGCTGCGCTTAAACTTGCCTGAGCTTCGATGAGTTTTTGGGACTCAGTGTGGGTTGATAAGTCTTCGGGGATCGCGGTGATTACGAGCGACGTCCATTTTAATACCTGGTACGCTGTTAAGGACGTACTGAAACTGAAAATATTTATTTTAAAGAATATAATTAATTTGATAAAATGAAAAAATTATGTGATAAATTGGATAATTAATTATAAACAAAATATTTTTTTAATTTGCATTTTTAATTTTTTATAATTTAGTTTTCAAAAAAAATAAAAAGACTGACGTCTTTTTATTTGATGAAATCTTGGCAGATATTTTAATCTATATTAAGAGAATGAGAGAAATTTTATGGAGAGTGTATTTATATGATAAAATCGATTATTTTTGAGAAAATAATATCTTACATCTTTAAAATTATCAATAATTAAGAAATTACCTTGTATCTTGTGAACTATTAACATTGTTAAAGATATAAGCTCATCCTAACGTTGCACTCAACGAGACCTTTCATTTGAATGCCCACATCAATTTTTCATATATTTTATATTTATATATAATATATATATATATATATATATATATATATATATAGTACAGTGCAATTTAACAAAAGTCATCATTTAACAAAGCAAAATTTTATTTATTTATAGTTCACAAGTCACGGCAGTCACGTAGTGACTGCAAGGTTGTTAGTAATTTTTAAAATTATTATAATTAATAAATTTTGGAAAAAAAAAATTGAAATTTTAAAAAATTATAAATGCAATTTTTTAAAAAGGATTTTTTCAGAAAAAATTTTACTTTAATTTAATAAATTCTCAAATGACATAATTAATTTTTAATTTTATAATTTTTTATACTGGAAATTTTTTTACTCCACATATGGAGACTTGATTTTAATATCAAAAATAAAAATTTATTTAATAACAAAAGACACAAAAGTAGTCAATAAAAAAATACACTACCTATCTTGATTAAAAATTATTAAAGAATTTTTTATAATAATAAAAAAAAAATAATTACGTTGGAACAACATTCTGGTGCCAAGTAGCCTGCTCGGTGATAACAGCAGTCATATATTTAACTCCATGAATATTCTGGTGCTTCAACAACTCAGCAATCAAATTTCTGACGTAATATTGGGACTTGTTGTCTTTGTACCGTTGGAGAGTACTCGCGACAACTTTGCAAATTCCATTGACAATTTTTTCATTGATGCCTGATAAAATAAAAACATGTATTATTATTTATTTAATTAAATTAAAAATAAATAATTTTAATAAATAGTGTCTGGAAAAATAATCTCAGCTGTAAGTAAATGATGTTGATATTAAATATTATTATTATTGATAGTAAATAAGAGCAAGTACCTGGATTTGACAAGACATCGATGACATTGTGTATAACCTCATATCGTTCCTTTAAACTTGAAGTTTGAACTCGGTTCGGTAGATCTTTAAGCGCTTTCAATAACTGAAATAATTTTTTTAATAAATATTTTTATTATAATAGATTAATATTTAATAAAATTAAATTCCACGTGACAAACTTACCTCAGCATCCGCCATATTTTCAGATAGACCGGGACACATTGCAAATGTCACCAACTTCATTGTCATTACTTGCCCGGGATTGTCTGAAGTTGCTTACTAAAGTTGGAGAAATTTTTTTTAAATACTCCATTTTGTTTTTAATGACAATTAAAAATTTTTTTAAATTCAGATAAAATAAAAAAAATTAATATTCTTATTATTTGTCATTATTTTTATGAATAATTAAATTTTTTAACTGTTTATAAATTTTGTGCAAAAAATAAATTTCTACTTATTTGTCAGTGAATAAAAAAAACTTTAAGCGACTATCGATAAGGTTAAGTTCTGTGCTACAGTGCCATTATTGTGGCAGTTTTTTGTTTATCCCCAATTTTAATCAACTTGAGATGAGCATTATTTGATTATTTTATAATAATTATTGCAAGTTTGTAATTATAAAAAAATAAAAATAAGTTTATTTAAAAATCTTAAAATAAAGTTGATAATTAAAATTATCAAACAATGGATGTCAACAACTTTTCGTTTGAAAATGTAGAAATAAAGGTTGAAAATTATGATGAGGTAGGAGGGTTATGTTTTTAATTATACTTAAATTATTCAAAATATATTTTTTATTTTTTTTATTAATTAAATTAGGACTAAAAAAAATTTTTTTTAAAGTGCACTTATAATTTTTTTTACTAAAAAAAAATTCTAAAAAATTAATGAAAATTAATTTAGCGTATACACGGAAAAAACAAGATGGCACTTGATATCATCCTAGATTATACTGAGTGAAAAAAAAAAATATGAAAATTAATTTAGCAGACAGTTAATAATTTTTAGAATTTTTTAACAAATAAATTGTGGCATAAAAAAAATCTAAGATTATACTGAGTATAATCTTAGATTATACTGATTATAATCTAAGATTATACTCAGTATAATCCAAGATTACAATGATTATAATCTAAATATCACGCAGTATTTGAATTTTTTAACTACTGTCTGAAAATTTTTTGTCACCACAGATATCACTGAGTATAATCTAGGATGATATTCAGTGTCATCTTATTCTTTCCGTGTATTTAATAATTTTAAAAATTTTATAGCAAATGAATTATGGCAAAAAAAAAGTTATAAAAAAAAAATTGATATGTAGAAATTTAAAAAAATAAAAAATGCAATTTTTTAAAATTATTAAATGTATGCTAAATTAATTTCCATAATAATTTTTTGGAACAAAATTTTTTTGATAAATAAAATAAAAAAATTGTTAAGTAACTGCTAACTTCAATGGCATAAAAATTTTTAGGTATCTGGTAACTTAATTTTCATATATTTTTAATATAAATTTTGATTATGTTATAATTAAATTTATATATTTTTAGGATCCACTGGATAATGATACAGCTGATAGTTATGAATGTCAACAAATTGAAGAAGATTCCTCAATGGATGTTGAGAAAGTTAAAATAGAGCCAGTATATTTAACTGTTCCTCACGAAAATATTTATGTTGAGCCTGGTGTGTATTTTTATTTATTTAAAATTTAATTTATTATTATTAGCTGACCCTTGTCATTATTTTCATAAAATATCTTATAGTTTAATTAATTACATTATCAATTTTAATGATACTGAAATTTAGAGACTGATAATTTTTAGAAATTTTTTTACTGATAAATTATTTTAAGAAGAACTTATTTAAAAAATTTCAAAAATTCTAAATGCAATTTTTTAAAAACAATTTTCTAAATCTAGTTTGTTATTCAAAAAAATTTTCAAATATTAAAAAATTAATTTATTGAACATTAAAAAAAAAAATCGGTGCATTTAATTAGTGTGTGAATATTTATATTTTGTGCTATGTAACAATATTATAGCCGTAATAATTATTCCAATTACAAGGTATGTAAAAATGGCATAATGAATTTAATTAACACGACTTGATCAACTTCAGTATCTTAATAAAAGAAAATTTTTAATACTAATTTAAATGTACTAACTGTTAATTCTATTTCTGTTAACTATCTACCAGGTCGCCCGGATTTGAGGTCATATTTGGAACAAAGCTTCAAAGGTCTATTGATTCTTAATTACTACAAACTCCACAAAAATCTCACTGACCCTTTAACCAATTATTTGGCGGAAATTGCTGTTGGCCGGGTAATTCATAATATTCTTAAACGGCAAAAAATCACCACAGAAAATCCTTTAAAAAAATTAATGTAAGAAAAATTATTTAAATATAAAATTACAACAGATTATTCAATTAATTGCTTTGTATGCATATTTAATGTGTAATTTTTGCTTGCAGAGTTCCAACAGCTATACTTAAAAATCTCGCCACAGAAATAAGTATATTGTTTAATGAAAAATCTGCAATTTATTACAGTCCTGGGTTAACAGATGGCATAAAAAAAATTAACTCAGGTGGCAAATTGCAAAGCCAATTAAACTATGCTCGAAGATTATTAATTGACTCAGGCTTACTAGTTATCTCTAGTCGCCGTAGCTCAGTTCTGACTGATAGTATTATCAGTACTACTGGTAAGTGTAACTAGTTTTTGAATTTTTAAAATTTTTTTCCATTTAATAAATAGTATAGTGACGTTATAATGTCTTTTAGATTCAGCTTCATCCTCAAGTCTATTAAATTTACTGAAAAAGGAATCTGAAGATTCGGAAAAAATTGAAAAAGCTTGGATTGACGCGTTTGCAGCTCGACGACAAATGGTAGCAGATAGTCCTGATAAATTAGTTGAATTTAATTTATATCCTTGTTTATCAGGTGACAAAGCAACTCATTTTGTAAGCATTAGTTTAAATAATTACTTGACTATTTTATTTTGAATAAAATTTCACAAAAAAGTATTTAATTTTAATCAAAAATTTTTTTTCAGATAACGTTAGATTTTGAAAGAAAATTTGAAGGTGCTAAGTCATTTAAGACATCTTGGCCAAATCTTCGAGCAACATTTGAGGATTTTATTTTATCTAAAAGGATAGATGATATTGATGCTGCAGCTCAGGTTGCTAAATTAGCCGAGTTAGTCGATGGTTCGTAACAATATTATACTTAAAATTATTTTAATCAACGCAATTGTTAATTTTTAATTTATTTTAGGTGATAAAGACGCTGTTATAATTTCATTACTACCTCTGGCTATTAAATCTTCAGTATCCAGTACTGCTAAACGGAGAAAAGTAGAAAATCATCCTGTAGTTGATGGAAAATTAACAGAATTAAAAAATTCTTATATTCTCACTGTTGAAGTAAGACTTTATTTTAAAATTACTAACTTTATTTTAATAAAGATTTGTGTAATAACTAATTAATATTTTTATACTTTTCCAGAAATCTGAAGAGCTGGAAGATAAGATTAAAGCTCGGTGGCAGACATTTATTACTAATAAAGAAGCGTTTTATCCATTTATGGTTTTTGTCGGACCTGTTTGCAAGCCTGTTGACTTTTATGTCGTTATTGGTAACACAAAATTGAAGGTTGATTCAGCACTTGAAGCTTTAGATGTGACTTTGAAAATATTTCTTACAACATCATGTCCATTTCCAAAATTTGCTGCTTACACGTACATACTTTTAAAGAAAGTTGTTTATCAAATAACTTCGCTGACAAAATCATCGATCCAGTTGGAAAGAGCTCTATCATTTTTTGAAAAAAAATTAAATACTACGTTTAATTAGTATAATAAAATAATATATAAGAACAATATTTATTATCATAAATGGATTATCCTCAAGTATTTGCTCATTTTGAAAAGACAAGCTGCTTTATACATTGCCAAATTATTTAATTCACTCGTTTTGCCTCGAAGCAGATTTCATGACATCATCATCATCATCAGTTTTTAAGCTTTATTGTTACTATTATTATTATAATTAGAATTAAAATTAATATTATTATTATTGTTCTTGAAATAATTATTTGTATTTTTAAATATAATTAAAAAAAAAATCTGTTTTGTTTTAAACAATTCATTTTATAACCTGTCTCTATTGATTTTTTTTATTTAAATTCTTAGCCCAATATTTTTAAGTTCAACGAGTCTAAGAAAAGAAAAAAAAATTTTTTTAACTCTAAACTATTAAAAAAATTGTGCTTAAATGTTCCTTAAATATTTTTTATATATGCAATAATTATTTAAAACAATATTTTATCACCCTAATATCTAAAATACATAATAGATATGATAAAGCTAAGTGGGAAGGCGCTAGAAAAAAAAAAAAAAAAAAAGAGAAGATAGCACTGAGTATAATCCAAGATTCTATACAAGCTTGTAAATTAATTAAAATTAATAATTTCTCTAAAAATAATACTTTTTTTTTTTAATGAAAAAATGATATCAATTATTTAAATCCACGATTATACTGAGTATAATCCAAATATCTCTCATTATAATCTGGAATGTTATCCAGTATAATCTTGTTCTTTCCGTGTCCCGACTAATTTCTGAAGCTGTAAAAAACAATACCGTAAATTAACGAAAATATTTATTTCTTTCTAGAGTTTATAAAAGTAGAAGTAGAAAATCTGGATAAACCTGAAACTTCTTCAATTGATGGATTTAAAATCAAAGAAGAAACACCTACCATTGAATGTGACACTTTATCCTCCTATTTATTCAAGTGCGACTTGTGTAGGAAAGAATTTATCAAGAAGAGTACTCTAAGGTACCACATGCGCTTGCACATTGAAGAGAAGCCTTACAGTTCTTCTGAATTTCCTGCAAATAAAAGTAAGAACAAACCTCCGATAATCCAAAAGCGCGCAAAGCCGTACGCTTGCAGTGAATGTCCATCAAGATTTCGGGCGAAGAGAACTTTGGACGCTCACATCTTGCTGCATACCGGGGAGAGACCCTATCTTTGCACACTCTGCCCTGCGACGTTTCGCGTGCCACATAATTTGAAGCATCACATGAAATCTCATTGTAAAGACAAACGTTTCAGTTGTAGCGTTTGCTCCAAGACTTTTCGGGAACAGTCTCTTGTGATAAATCATATGAAAATTCATTCTGAAGATAAGCCAGTTGCTTATGAGATGTGTTCTTGTAAAACCTCTCATACAGACAATAAGCCGATAGCTTGTGAGATTTGTCCGTATAAATTCAGGACCAATGGCGACTTGAAGTACCACATGCGGATCCACACAGGCGAGAAACCTTTTCAATGTGATGAATGCTCTGCTAAATTTTGCAGAAAGTCTCAATTGGCAGAGCACAAACGGACGCACTCTGGAGAAAAACCTTTTCAATGTAAAATTTGTTCTTTTAAATGCGCTCGAAAAAGTCAGCTTAATTATCACGTGAAAAATTATCATAAAAAAGAATCTTACTCTTGTAAAGATTGTCCTTCTAAATTTGATGATGTAGTTGCTCTTAAAATCCACGCTGGGTATCATAAAAAAGCACAAGTTGAGGTTTTTCAGTGTGGTATTTGTTCTAAGACATATGTTGCTAAAAATAATTACACGCGACATATGAAATCTCATGATCTTAAATGAGAATTTTGTCTGAAAAAGTTTAAAATAAATTATAAACATTAATATTATTTAAATGAATGGGAAAAATACTCACAATAATTTAAGGATTTAATTTTTACAAGAGCTTTCTAATAATTATTATTTATTATTGTTTTAATAGCATATTTAAATGAAATTGAAATACTACAAATTACTGCTGAAAAAATTAAAAAAAAATTACATCAGTAATTTTTTGAAACTTACAAGTGGAATTTTTGGAAATAATTTATATGACATTAATATTGAGAGTCATCTGATAGTTTTTAGAATTGTTTTAATTAATAAATTATAATAATAAAAATTTAATTAAAAAATTCTGTTTTTAAAAAATTAAAAAAATTATTATTAGATTTTTTTTTATTTTGCTTCATTTAAATAAATTAGAAGTAAAAAATAATTTTTTAAATTAGAGACAAAGTTATGATTTGATTTTACTAATTAAATTTTTTAAAATTATAGTCATATTTACTAATTAATTTTAAATAATTAAATAGATTATCCGGAGACACCAATTATTGGCAGGTTAAAAAACTGATTGATCTAATTATTGACATACCTTCACCCCAATTATTGACACCTATACTAAGCATGCCTACAATCATCAGCTTAGTCTTATTTATCCAAACTTATTATTAAGTAATCAATTTTATTAAAGTTTATTAATAATAATTTCCATAAATGATTAATTACTTTTAAAATAATTTATTTAATCAGAAGAGTTCAAACTCTTATAGTTAATTTTTTAGATTAAAGTAAAAAAAAAGCGTGATAGCGCTGTCGAATGGCTGTCAATATGAGATTCAACTTAAAAAGTATCAACTAGTTATTGACACCCACTATTTAAATATAATAAAGGAAACAATTAATTTCGATTATTCAATTTTATAAATTTTTCATATATTGTTAATTAAAAAAAAAAAAAGATCATATTCAGAAGAGTTCAAACTCTTATAGTTAATTTTTTAGATTAAAGTCAAAAAAATGCGTCTTAGCGCTGTCGAATGGCTGTCAATATGAGATTCAACTTAAAAATTATCAACTAGTTATTGACACCCATTATTTAAATATTATAAAGCATACAATTAATTTCGATTATTCAATTTTATAAATTTTTCATATATTGTTAATTAAAAAAAAAAAAATGATGATATTATTAGATGAAGAAATTAATTTAAACGGCATTTAAAAGAAATGCTTTTCTAATCAAAGTTGTTAAGAAAATAAACTGGTTTTAACTGGTGGTAACTTTATTTTTTAATAATTAATATTTAATATTAACTGACAGTAATTTTTTAATTAATTAGAATTTAATAAAAATTTATATGATAGTTATTCTTATTACAGATGATTAAATACAAAAATAATATAGGGTGTCAATATTTAGACCCCTGTCAATAATTGGGGCTTTTACCTTAAAGTTTTTTACAAATAAAATTTTTTTTTTTTAATGAAAAAAAATCTTTAAAATTTTTAAATAGGCTCTCTTTTCAATGACATTAAAGTTAGCAGACACTAGAGAATTTTTTAATTTTTTTTAACAAACAAATTCGTTTAAAAAAATTGCATTTTTTATTTTTTAAAATTTTTACATGTCAATTTTTTTTGCTGTAATTTATTTAAAAAAAATTATTAATCATCTGCTAAATTTATTTTCATCTCTTTTCATATAATTTAAAAATTTATCCTTTGACAGTAAGCCAGAAAATTTTTTAAAAATTTTCTCAAAAAACATAACCTAAAATTCCTTCATTGCCGACTAAAACAAAAAAATAATAATAATTAATATCTAAATGAACTAATGTATAATAAAATATACTTAAAATAGTAATAACAATAACTCACTGTATGAAAGTCAGTCGATTTAGTAATTACGGTAATAAAGGCCCATAAGATAACAATGGAGAGTAATTAGGGAAGCATAAATACATGAACTCAGTCAACGGACTTTCGCCACGTAATCCCAAGTACCTATAACATTTAAATATAGTTAATACTCATTACTTACACAAACATCGATACGCACTAAGGTATATTTTGTTACAGCGTTTACATCGCGTAGATTGTACAGTCTACAGTGTAGTAAGGGAATTTTAAGTTGTGAGTTGTGAGTTGACATCCAGCTAATATAAGCATTCAGTGCAATATCCAATCCAATAGAGTATAAAATCCTAAATACATCACACTCGATACAATTAATATAAACTAAACTTTACACCAAACAAGTGTCTGTGACGAAATAAAAATAAAATGTTGACATTTTATTAGCTGTTGCGTAATTTACAGCAAAGTACCGTTAATATTTATCACTAATCACAAGTTTAACAGATAAAGATAATAATATAAAGAGACTTACCGAGATTGTCATTGTGAATTGTAACTCCACAGTACATGTCAGTGCAATTATTTATATATTACACCAAGCTCCAAAACGTCAATTGGTCTTAGTCTTGTGGTGTCAACACGCTTACGCGTCAGTAATAAATGAGTAAAAATAGCAACAACACTTATTGTTATTATTACTCGCTTAAGGAAATTACCGAGTAAACAAAGTCTTTAATAATTATAACAATAATAATAAAAATAATACGTCAGTAGTCAGTACTTTTGCATCTCATCGACTATTTGACCTCGGCTTAAATACACGTAAGTTTTTTACAGTCTTCATTTTATTTTTTTTCTTGGTAATTTTATTTATTTATTTATTTATTATGTTTTTTTTTTTTTTTTTTAAGGTTTAAACAGTGATTAAGATTTAACTGATTGAATATCTGAAAAATTATTATACTTAATAAAAATGAGCACTGTGGAAGAGCGCCCAGGTCCGTCACAGCCGTCAGATTCAGCGACCAAAGACAAGGAAAAAGATGACAGGATGTTTGAGTGTAATATTTGCTTAGACACCGCTAAAGATGCGGTTGTCAGTATGTGTGGACATTTGTTTTGGTGAGTTTTGTTTAAGTTTATATATAACCTAAGTAATAAAAAAATTAAGACATTTTTTTTGTCGAGTGACAAAAACAGCTGAGAATTTTTTTTTTTAACTAATTAAGTATGAAAAAAATTTCTTTTTAATAATAATTTAATTGTTAGAAAAATCTAAGAATTTTTAAGTGTCTGGTGATTTTAGTGTTTTAATAATAACCTAATAAATAAAATTTTGCATTATTAAATAATGAATTTTGTTAAATTGCACTGCACTTTCTTTAATATTGACGTTTTTAAAGATATAAGCTCATTTTGATGTTACACTCATCAAGAGCTTTCATTTGAGTACCCACATGCATTTTTTATATATTTCTCATATCTACATATATGTAATATATATAAATATATGAAATATATAAAAAATTCATGTGGGTACTCATATGAAAGGTCTCGATGAGTGTAACCTCGGAATGAGCTTATATCTTTAAAAATGTCAATAGTTCACGAGATACAAGGCCATTTCTTAATTATTGACATTTTTTTAAGATATTAACTCATTTTGATATTACACTCATTGAGACCTTTCATTCAAGTACCCACATGGCATTTCTTACATATTTTATATATATGGTATTTGTGAAATATATAAATATATAAAATATATGAAAAATTGATGTGGGTACTCAAATGAAAGGTCTTGATGAGTGTAACATCTGGATGAGCTTATATCTTTAAAAATGTCAATAGTTCACAAGATACAAGGTCATTTCTTAATTATGTATCTAGAGATAGAACATTTTCGAATGCAGCCTAATCAAGATTTTTCCAACGATACCAAATTTAACCATAAAAACCCATTTTATCATATAAATACACTGGTCATAAAAGTTCGCTCATTCTCTTAATAATATAGATTAAAAAAATGACATTAAAATTAGCAAACAATTTTTTTTTTAAATTCTCTAAAAAATTTAATTTATAATTTTTTAAAGATGGAATTTTTTGAATAAATTTTCATTTGTTAAAAATTTAATAAAAATTATCAGATTTAAAAACTATTGTCAACACAAAAGACACTCAAAATAATGACAAGTGAAACTAAAAATAAATGAGTTATAATAAAAAAATAATTGTTACAGTTGGCCTTGTCTTCATCAATGGCTGGAGACCCGACCCACGAGACAAGTTTGTCCAGTCTGCAAGGCTGCTATTAGTAAAGAAAAAGTAATCCCGCTGTACGGGCGAGGTGCCTCGAAACAAGAGGACCCAAGGTAAACCACTGGCTCAATATAATTTTCACTTTTACATCATAAGCCTAAATTTATTGGTCAATATTAATTGATGTAATACCAGAGCATATTACATATCCATATTAAATTAATCCAACCTTTAAATAAATTTAGGAATAACGTTCCACCGAGACCAGTCGGACAGAGATCAGAACCAGAAGGCAGCTCAGGATTCTCTGGGTTAGGGTTCGCTGATGGCGGGTTCCATATGTCCTTTGGCATCGGCGGGTATCCATTTGGCTTCTTCATGTCGACCTTTAACTTTGGCGACAATCGACCCAATACTGGTAAAATTATTAGTAATTATTTACAAGTGGGGTTTATAATTTTAATTTTAATTTTTTTTTTTTAAGTTAATAAAATTTTTTTTTTTTTACTTAAAATTAATTTTTTTTTTCAGTTCCCAGAGGAACTCCCCAGCACGAAGATGATTTGTTCATATCAAAAATATTCCTCTGGCTGGCTTTAATCTTCATCACATGGCTACTGATCGCGTAACCATGATGCGAAATCCAGAAAAAAAAAAAAAAAAAAAAAACTTGAAGCAATTAAACCGCTAGAAAAATCCTCTAGGCTCCCTTAAAAATGAAAAGTACTTTTAAATTGAAAAATTATTTATAATTTCCGTTGACGTTGACAAGAACCAAATTGTCCGTGTAGATTTAAAGCTATTAAATCTTGCATTGAGCTTCGTTTATTCTGTATATATTGAATATAACTACTGTAAACATATATATAGATACATACATACGTAACATATATCATAGCCATTAAGATTAATTATAATTTATATATATATATATATATATATATATATATATAATTATTAAATATTACATAATTACTCGAAAAAGCTAAGGGTTTACCAGGCGTCTATCCAATGTACTTTCTTTTTCACTGTGGGTATGTTTATAGATTTTATTTTATTATTAATAAGCACATTATAATAAAAAGGCATTTAGAATTGTGCATTTATAAAAACCTTTAATATTTTTTTTTACTTTCAAAATTATTTTTCTCTAGTCGAGAAAAATTATTTAAAATTCCCTGATTAAAAATATTGATTGAAAAGAATTGAAATTTAATTACTTTTTCTCGAGAAATAATAATTATATTTCATCCCGTGGAGTTTTCTCACGTTTGAAACCTTTACTTTGCAGCAGCTCATTGCACTCATCTCTGGTGAGTTTTGACAGCGCAAGGCGTTCTACTTCCTGCAATTATTTACAATTAATATCTCGATAAAATTGTTGTGTAATTTAATTATCTAGTCAATACATACGTCATCATTGTCGTAAAGGACTAGTTCCGGTTTTGCTCCAGTGATATGCTTGAATTCGACATTACCGCTGAGATTTTTTGTTAAGTTTAATATAAAAAACATTTTTTTTATTAAAATTAATAAAATAATTTTTTATTAAAATTTAGAAAATAATTTTATGAAAATTATTTTAGCAGATATTTGATAATTTTTGTAATAAATAAATTATGACAAAAAAAAATTGACGTAGAAATTAAAAATACAATTTTTTAAAAATAATTCATCAATAATTAAAAAAAAAAATAATTTTTCATAAAAATTAATAAAAATATTTTATGATAATTAATTTAGTAGATATTTGATAATTTTTGTAATAAATAAATTATGACAAAAAAAAATTGACATGCAGAAATTTAAAAAAAATTAAAAATAGAATTTTTAAAAATAATTTATCAATAATTTTAAAATAATCTTTTGTTCAAAATAGGTAATTAAAAATAATTTTTTGTTAAAAAAAATTTTGAAGTGACAGCTAAATATAATGTCATAAAAATTAATAAAATAATTTTTTATAAAAAAGGATACTACTCCGGAACATCCTCAAAGATAAATTTTTTGACATCAGCCAGCCGATTTAACGAACATCCCGAGCAGCTCTGAAAAAATATTGTCATTAGATTTTCATGTTAAAATAAATATTAATGATTAATGTTTTATTTACCTCAACAACGGCGCGTGTGTAAACAGAAGCGCGGACATTTGTTATCAAACAGGCGGACAAAACAATAACAATTGATATTTGTTTAATCATTATTTATTTACTTGGTAAATAATTGTTTAGAAATATAAAAATTTTTATTCGAGTAAGTTGGGACTTATACTGAACACTGAAACTGGACCAAAGCAAACAACAGTCTGTGCTGACCTTCAAATCAATAAGTGATTGCGAGTTGGAAAAATATTCCAGTCTCTGTTAATAAAACAGAGATTGCTTTTGTTATTTTTTTCACTTTTACTCTTACATATATTTACATTTATCAATTAATAAATAAAGTTTATTAATTTTATCTTTTAATACTATTTTTTTTAATTTAAATTTTGTTTTTTATTTTTCAGACACGCCCTCTGGTGTTTTTTTAATAAACTTTTTATTATATCCGTATGAACTTCATTAATCAAAAAAACAAAGACCTAGAATCTATTGGAGTGATGATTAAAAAACAAAAACTTCTTGTCAAGATTAAATTGTAAATTAATTATTCTAGATATTAAAAAAGAAATTTCATAAATTTTATGAAAATTTATTCTGCAGACATTTTATAATTTTTGCAATAAATAAATTATGGCAAAAAAAAAAATTGACATGTAAAATTTTAATAAAACTAGAAATGCAATTTTTTAAAAATAAATTCTTTGGAGAAAATTTTTTTTTTAAATAAAATTAAAAAATAATCAAGTGAATGCTAACTTTAATAATTTTTTTCAACAAATTAGTTTATTGTTAAAAAAAAAAATAAAAAATAGTAAAGTGACAGTTGATTTAAATGTCATTTTAAAAAATTTCTACATGTCAAATTTTTTCTTTTGATTTTTTTAAAAATTTTAATAATAATTTTTGATTTTTTAGTTTTTAGGAAAAAAATATAAAATTTTAATGACATTAAAGTTAGCAGTCGTTAGAGAATTAAACAAATTTTTTTAACAAATAAATTTGTTCCAAAGAATTATTTTTAAAAAATTGCATTTTTTATTTTTTCAAATTTCTACATATGTCAGTTTTTTTTTCTTATTTTTTTTGCTATAATTTATTTGTTAATAAAAATTCTAAAAATTATTTAATATCTACTAAATTTATTTTCATAAAATTTTACAGTGAAGAACTTACTGGAAGCAAAATTCATCCATGTATTTTTGCAGAACATGAAGGTAATTATTTCCATGTCAATAAAATTGCTTACAATCCCAGAAATTAAAAAACATAAAGATAAAGTGTCAACTACCCTGCTCTCGGCGATTATTAGATTAAAAATAATCCATCAATTATTTAATTGATTCCAATTAAAAAGGAATAAGCAATAAAATTTTATAATTAAGCTATTTATAAATTTATCAAATTTCATCACGGGTTTTTTTGTTTTTTAACAATTAAAAGTCGCTCAATTTTGATAAAAATAAAATCGGTGGGAATCAATATAGTTGGTTCTAACAAATATAAACTGTCTAAGACCTAATTTCGGCAGTATAAGTTATATCAATCGTGTTGATTTAGAAGCATGAAAGTTACAATTTTTATTATCTCCATCGTTTCTTCGGTAAGTTATCAATTGCACGCTTCATAAATCCAAGAATTCAAAAATCAAATAAGCATTTAATATTCAGATTATTTTTTATTTAGCAGATTCAATTCCACCATTGTTGCGGCTCGACGGATTTAGATAACCCACCAGAGCCACGATGGAACATAACCCTTGACAATCCAACCAAAAAAAGGTACCAAAGATCAATAAGTTACGACGCTAGCGGCGAAGTGCGCTGGGACGGCAGTGAAACAGCAGGAACCGGTTACGTTCCAAAAACATTGGGTTATTTAAAATCATCCAGTAGTTCCAGGCCAACAGTTCCTTGTTTCATCAAAGGAACATCAGTCCGCTTCCAAGGGAAGCCTGTTTACATAGATGGAAGCACTGGGTACATAGACGGCGCTGTTTGCTGGGTCAAAGGGAACACCAACGGAAGACAAGGAAAAACTTGTTACGCCCGAGGAACCATTGTGAGCCATTTGTACACCTCAAAAGTTCCAGAACTTGCGTGTGTTGTCCAAGAGTCCATCGGCTTCGTGATAGGAATTAGATACGGCCGAGGAGTTCCTCCGTATCGCCTAACAGAGTCCAGTGATTTAGTAGCTACTGCTTGTACCATGTCTACGACGTACAACTACGTTCTAGGAACCGTTCTCTATGAAGAAGGAACCAGCGGTTATGTGAACGGAAGTTCGTGCTGGGTCAGAGGGCTAAGACACGATGGATTAGGTAGAACATGTGATGTTCCTGGAACTGCTGGGGATTTAGTAGGAACTGATGGACGTGTTTCAGGAACGGCATGCTACTTACAATTCTCTACAACTTATGTTCTAGGAACTAGGTACTATCAAATGCCTAATTGTCATGCGAATAGTTTTCCTCTTCAAGAATTGAATTGTAATGAGCAAGTAAACAGCAATGTTCCAGGAACTAATCTTAATGAGCAAGTCAACAGAAATGTTCCAGGAACTAATTTTAATGAGCAAGTCAACAGAAATGTTCTAGGAACTAATCGTGATCATGGAAGAACTGAACAAGTTCAAAGAACTGGTGTTAACACCCAAAGAACTAGTTCAGAGAGCCATGCCCTAGGTAGCGCTAGTAGTCAGACACAACGGTCCAATGACTTTACAATAAAGTTTGTTGGTCACGAAATAACTGCTAGTGGTGATCACGTGCAAATTTTTTGTTATTTACGTCCTTCTTTTTTGCAGGTAGGATCTCCTCATTTTGTAGAGGGCAGTTCTGGATATGTAGATGGAAGCACTTGTTGGATAGAAGGAACTGTTAGTTCCACGCAACCAAATCTCTGTTACGTAGAAGGATCTATAAAAACTTTGCAAAGACACAAGGTGTCGAAAGTTGTTTGCTTTGTATCGTCAACTTCTGGGTATGATTTGGAAAATAATTATGTTACAGGAACTAGAAGTTACTATCAACATCCGTGCAGAGTTGGGGAAGTTACAGATTATTCCGATGGAACTACCACTTATTTCCGAGGCTCTCGTGGATTTGTGTACAGAAATACTTGCTGGGTTGAAGGAGTTCGAAAAGATGGCCGGAAGGGTGTTTGTTATCGAAGAGGGGTTACTTATCATGTAAAAAATAATTCTGAGAACTCACATAAAGCTTGTTATTTCACTGTTAACTATGCCTTTGTGATGGATGATCGTTATTATGAGTTGAATAGTGATTCTAAAGTAGAAGAAGATTCTTTTAGACATTCGGAAATTTCTTTACACGAAAATTCGGAGAGTTCAGTTCATTGGGAAAGTAGAAGTTTAATTAATGACGGGGAAATTAAAACAATTCCTCATGAAATTCATAATCATGGATCAATTCATAATCAGGATCATGGAACTGTTAATCATGGATCAATTTATAATCAGGATCATGGAACTGTTAATCATGGATCAATTTATAATCAGGATCATGGAACTGTTAATCATGGATCAATTCATAATCAAGATCATGGAACAATTCATAATCAGGATCATGGAACAATTCATAATCAGGATCATGGAACAATTTATAATCAGGATTATGGAACTGTTAATCATGGATCAATTCATAATCAGGATCATGGAACAATTCATAATCAGGATTATGGAACTGTTAATCATGAATCAATTCATAATCAAGATCATGGAACAATTCATAATCAGGATCATGGAACAATTCATAATCAGGATTATGGAACTGTTAATCATGGATCAATTTATAATCAAGATCATGGAACAATTCATAATCAGGATCATGGAACAATTCATAATCAGGATTATGGAACAATTCATAATCAGGATCATGGAACAATTCATAATCAGGATCATGGAACTGTTAATCATGGATCAATTCATAATCAGGATCATGGAATAATTCATAATCAGGATTATGGAACTGTTAATCATGAATCAATTCATAATCAAGATCATGGAACAATTCATAATCAGAATTATGGAACTGTTAATCATGAATCAATTCATAATCAAGATCATGGAACAATTTATAATCAGGATCATGGAACAATTCATAATCAGGATTATGGAACTGTTAATCATGGATCAATTCATAATCAAGATCATGGAACAATTCATAATCAGGATCATGGAACAATTCATAATCAGGATTATGGAACTGTTAATCATGGATCAATTCATAATCAAGATCATGGAACAATTCATAATCAGGATCATGGAACAATTCATAATCAGGATTATGGAACTGTTAATCATGGATCAATTCATAATCAAGATTATGGAACAATTCATAATCAGGATCATGGAACAATTCATAATCAGGATCATGGAACTGTTAATCATGAATCAATTTATAATCAGGATCATGGAACTGTCCAGGAAGGAAACAATCGTAGAATTTATACTCAAGGATCTGAAAATGAACGAGATTCTAATTCAGATTTTGAAAGTCGTCAGACTACAAATGATTTTCAGCAGGAGCACCATAAACAATATGAAGAAAATGTCAATTATAATTATGGTTCTTCTGAAAATTCTCAAATCAATTGGTCAGTAGGTAATCATCATGAAGAACAATCAAAAGAAGAAATTAATAGAAGTGATGAACAATCTAGAAGAAATTTTATAATGCGGGGAAAAGATCAAAGTCGTGAAACTGGAAGAAATCAGCAAGACTTTAAAAATCACTTTTACCAACAGTATAATCCAACTTGGGCGTATGACCTTAATTTTTTAACGAAGATACCACCGCTGACGAGTATTATCGTCTCTGGAAATAATAATAATAATAATAATAATAATAATAATAATAATAATAATAATAATAATAATAATAATAACAATAATAACAACAACAATAATAATAATAACAATACTAATAGTAATAGTAATAATTACAATAGAAATAATTATGAAAATCATTATAATTCTACTTATTATAATTATAATTATAATTACACTTATAATTATCAAAACTAGTACAATAGTCATTATCAATATAATTATAATAACAATAACAATAACAATAATAATAATAATAACAATAATATTGACAATAAAAATAATAATAGATTTTGAGATTTTTAATTGATAATTTTTTATTTTGCTTTGTGAAGAAATTTAATCTCAAGCTTGTCCTTGTATTTATATTTTTAGACAAGTTATAGATGTAATTTAATTACTTAATTAAAAGAAAAAAAGTTGATAAAATATTTTTGAGAAGCATTAAAAAAGTTATAAAAATTAGTAATTAAGTTAATAAAGCTGAAAAAGTTTTTTACGACTAAATGGTTAAATTATAGAAATAGATTAGAACACTTTTTAATATTGATAGATCATTTTAATTATGATACTGAAGTTAGCTGACACCTCTGTCAATTTTAAAAATTTTTATAACAATTAACAATAAAAACGTTTTAAAAAATTTCTAATTATTTTTTTTAATTTTCACATGTGAAATATTATTATTAAATTTTTTTCATAATAATTTAATTGATATTAAATTATAAATAAATTTTTAATGTCACTTTTTAATTAGATAGATTTATCAAAATATTAAATTTAGCATGAAAATAAAGTTAGCCGACATCTAAAAAGTTTTATTATTTTTTTTATTAAAAAATTATTACAAAAAAATTTTTTTATTTGTGAAAAACTTCAAAAACTATAAGTGCAATTTTTTAAAAATATTTTTTAGTTATAATTTAATAAATTAAGTAAAATAAAAAAATCAAAAATGTTAGCTAACTTTAATATTATAAATTTAGCTGTCACTTGACAATTTTTCAATTTTTTTTAACAAATAAATTTATTTCAAGAAATTATTTTTCTTTTAATATTACAAATAAAATTTTTTAGAATAAAATTTGTTGGTTAAACTTTTAATAAGCAACTGTCACTTCAAAAAACAAAAATGACGCTCCGGTTGCTCCGGTACTTACCGGCTTAATAAAAAAAAATCCACGCCAAATTTTACAAATTTTTCCCGTCAGAGCGCTGCTGGTAATTTCTCATATTCCCTCTCCCCACTAGCGAATTACACGGCCGTATTGGTAACTAATTAAAAAAACGCGCCATCTTTTATCAGTACTATTTTGTCTAGTGTCCCGAGTGTCCGGTCGGTTGTGTCGTTGTGTGTGTGCTTAGTTTAACTAATCGATCCTTTTTTTTCTTAATATTTTATTATTTAAGCAGCCGAATGATTGTCGGATACTCCACCGGGTCATCAATAATTAATTAATCTGTCAAGTGAGTATTTACACAACATATACATTCACAATCGATTAATGCTAATAATTATCTTGTAAATTCGATCAATAATTCTATTTCTAACCTATTAATATGAAAATGATCCGGTTGACATCATCTGCTCCAATTTTTATTTATTATAAATTATAAATAGTAAATTTATCAAAATAATTAACTTTTTTTTATTTAATAAAAAATATTAATAATAATTTATTTATTTATTTATTTATTTATTTATTTATTAGGCAACATGTACAATGGAATTGGCTTGCAAACGCCCCGTGGATCTGGTACTAATGGACATGTCCAGCGTAATTGGGCAGTTGTACGTAAAACTAAAGACAAAGTTGACTACAAATCAGATGATAAATTAGACTCAATAAATAAGCAGCCGAATAAAGATATTCTTGATCATGTTAGAAAGAGAAAAATTGAACTTAAAGTTGCTGAGTTTGCAGATAATCTTGAAGATAAAGGGTATTTATTATTTTTAATATTTTATTTATTTATTAAATTTTTTTTATCAAATAAATTATGACAAAAAATTTTTAATTCAATTTTTTTTTATTTAATTTATAACAAAAAAATTTTTTTTTTTAATATTGACAAAAATTTTTAATTCAATTTTTTTATTAAATAAATGTTGCAAAAAATATTGATAAAAATTTTCAATTTTTTTTAGCGGGAAGTTAAAAATTTTTAATTCAATTTTTTTATTAAATTTATAACAAAAAATTTTTTTTTAAATATTGACAAAAATTTTAATTCAATTTTTTTATCAAATAAATAAAAAATTTTTAATAAATTATCTTTAATTTAATGATTAATAATTAATTTTTATTTAAAAAATAAAACAGATACACTGCTAGTGAAATAAAAGAAAAAATTTCACAATATCGAGAAATATTAATGGACAATGGATCAAAACCTCCTCCAGTACCAACAGATGAATTTGGACGTGTAATGTAAGTATAAAAAAAAAATAATTAATAAAACTAATTTAAGGGATGTTAATTTAATTTAAATTAATAATTAAAAAAGGTCGGTATCGATCGTACTAACAAATAAAAAAAAAAGTAAATCGCTTACCGACTCCCCTGGGACTGACCTGGGTATGATAATAAATCTAGGCTGGTGATTTTCATCCCCCGAGTATATATATGTACATAGAGGTCATCCCTTCTATTTGAGAGCGTTCATCCGGTTTCAATATCGACTTCCCGTGGCGCCGGCGCTTCTCGTCAGACAGAATAATACGGAATTAGTATAAGAGAGGAGCAAGATGTGCGCAACAGTAAAGATTATATATTGTATAGCTACAGATATTTAAAGCAGTAAGTGGTATGTGTATTAGTAACGTGGTTACTCCGATCCAGCATTCTTCAGAGCTTCAGTGCGGGTATGGACCGGCGCCGCGACGCCTTAGAAAATCACGGGCTCGAATTTAAGATGTAATAAAGAAGGCGGATTTAATATTTAGCAAAAATGTAGTCCGTGTTTTTATTAACGAGTTTATGACTCATAAAATCACATAAGTCTTCCATTAGGATTAATTAATTATAAATTATAAAAAATAATATTTAATAATTAATTATAATAATAAATTATAAATATAAAAAATATTAAATTTAATTATCGAATTTATAATGTTAAAATTAAAGTGAATTTTTTCAATTAAAAAAAAATAATTAATTAATGTAAACTACTAAATTAACTAAGTGTTTAGTGTGCCTAATCTAACGTCTTCCGTAATTTATAAATAAATATATTTACACGATTTATACGATCAAATTAATTGTAAGCGTTGAAGAAAATTATTAAGGAAGGATCAAGCAATAATTGACAAGAATAACATCCGGCTGAGAAACAGGAAGTTTAGGATTTACAAGGGAACAATTTTATCCAGAAGATAATTGTTATATTTTATTACAATGTCTGATTTATCAATGACTATGTCATTAGCGCCGAAAATTCCACGAGGACGCGGTCCTGTTGACGGACGTGCCTTTTTTGAACGTCTCTGGCGTGGAAATTTTTTTCTAGACCGACAAAAAGCGTTCAAACGCACTCGTAAAAGAAAATTGCAAACAGCCAATGGGAAAAAGAGGATTCAGCAGCAATTGCAAGCTAAGCAACAACATTGTTGCTGCTGTCAGAGAATTCAATTTCATTTACTTGCTGGCCGCCGCAATAGTATGAGATCTGTTGTTAGGTGAATTAGTTTTATTTATTTTAATTGTTATTGTTATTTTGGGAATAATCTGAGATAATATAAGAAGCTTAGTGTCACCTTTTTATTTAATTTAGAAGATTATGTATTTATTGGATTTAAGTATTTTGTTGAAAGGTTTCATATCTTTTTATTAGATCATTTTTTATTTATTTATTATTTAAAAGAATTTTATATTTAAAAAAAATTTTTTTTATTTGTTTAAATTAAAAAAAAAAATGATATTAAAATAAAATAATTTATAATTTAATATTTAGTATTTATATTTTAATTAAAAAAAATTTTTTTATTTGTCTAAATGAAGGAAAAAAAATTTTGTTTTAATATTGAAAGTTTTTTGATGAAAAAAAATTTTTTTGTTGGGATAAAAAATTTTTTTTAAATTAATTTTAATAAATAAAATTTATGATAATGAAATTAGGATATAGTAGGTGTTAAAAGAAACTCCGGTATAAAAAGAGCTCTGGTGATAGTGATAAAAGAGAACAGTGCAGCAGGGAATTGTATTGATCGCAAGCGCGAGGTTTAAATGTGAATAGGGGTGGATACTCTGAGCCCCTGGGTTTTCATTTAAGGGCGAGGGGGTTTATAGTTGCTGACTTGGCGTCGGTTGCCAGTACATTATGTCATCTACGCTCTAGTAGTAATCATTAATACTGTTTAAACCACAAAAAAAATATTTATTAAATTAAATAATATATAAATTTATAAAACATGACTGTGAAATTAACATCCCGGTTTGATTTCATTATATAATAGTTTTGTGTTTATATTAAAGTTAGACGTCTGATAATTTTAGTTTCTTTAAAAAATTATTTACAATTTTTTTAAATTTAATTTTTTTTTGTGAAAATTATTTGTTATTATGCATAATTTTTTTTAAATAAATTTTTTTATTAAAAAAACATTCATAATTTTTTCAAAATAAATTTTTTTATTTAAGAAAAATTCATAATTTTTTTTTTAATAAATTTTTTTTTGTGAAAATTATTAAAAAAAATTTATAATTCTTTTTAAATAAATTTTTTTAGTTACATACAAAAAAATTCATAATTTGTTAAAAATAATTTTTTTTTAAATAAAAAAAAATTCATAATTTTTTTTAAATAAATTTTTCTTATAAAAATAATTTATTAAAAAAATTTTTTAAAATTAACAGATGTCTAAATTTTAGTATAATAAAATATTAATTAAATAATTAATAAATAAATATATTTTCAGTGTACGAGAGACGCATCAAGTAGCAGAAGCCCAGCAGGAAAAAAATGCAAAATTACGTGAAGCATTTGGAATCTCGGAGTTCTTCGTAGAAGGCAGCAGCTTAGACCCAGAGCGACGAACCCGAGAAGCAGAAGCTCGGGCAGCTGCCAGCAAGTACGAGCTGGTGCACAGCCCCAGTCCGGTTGCAGAAGACCCGGAGCCAGTCGCTGAGAAAAAAGTAAAGCGCAAAAGGTCCAGCAGCAGCAACAAGAAGAAAAAGGGGAAGAAACACAAGAAGGACAGGTAGACAATAGTGTGTACGATTGTGCGTGTCTCTGGAGGCTGGAAACGTTTCGGCTGCTTTATCACTTAAATAACTCACTAGTTTTTATTTGGATTATTATCGAGTGGCCGAACTCGCGAGTCGAGGCTCCAAGACCCCCGATAGAGATGCTTGGCCCTAGTAGTTTCCTATCATCGTTTTTTTAAATCATTTTTCTTAATAAATTATATTAATAATTGTTATTTATTATTACTAATAATATTACTATTGATATTATTTATCCCAATTTTAAAAAATATTTTTATTATTATTCTTATTACTGTAAACGCTTTTGTTCGACACATCTACGTCAGTTTTGAATCATTAAATTCGCCTACTGTCTCATACCCCGTACATCTTTCTCTGTTTCAAACAGAACTGAGGAGAACTGAGTGCCTACCCAGTAGGTAAGTTCGTCGCGAATTGATTTTAAAAGAAAAAAAAAATATTTATTTATTTAAACTTTATCTTTATGAAAGTTCCCAACGGTGTACGGAATTTATTTTAAGTAAATGTTTGCTAATTTTAATCCAGGGTCAAATAAAAGCTATAAATATTGACCAGTTAAATTAAAATACTTAGTTAAGAAGTGACCCTGTATTTTGTGAACTATTGACATTTTTAAAGATATAAGCTCATCCTGATGTTACACTTATCGAGAGCTTTCATTTGAGTACCCACATGGCATTTTTTATATATTTCATATATATATATATAGTATTTATGATATATATAAATATATAAAAAATGGCATGTGGGTACTCAAATAAAAGGTCTCCATGAGTGGAACATCGAAATGAGTTTGTATCTTAAAAAATGTCAATAATTAAGAAATGACTTTGTATACACTTATCGAGAGCTTTCATTTGAGTACCCATATCAATTTTTCATATATTTTATATATTTATATATATCATAAATACTATATATATATATCAAATATATGAAAAATGTCATGTAGGTACTTAAATGAAAGGTCTCGATGAGTGTGACATCGAAATGAGTTTATATCTTAAAAATGACAATAATTAAGAAATTACATTTTATTTTGTGAATTATTGACATTTTTAAAGATATAACCTCATCCTGATGTTACACTCATTAAGACCTTTCATTTGAGTACCCACATCAAATTTTCATATATTTTATATATTCGTATATATTATATATATATGTATATATGAAAAATATATCAAAAATGCATGTGGGTACTCAAATAAAAGCTCTTGATGAGTGTAACATCGAGATGAGCTTATATCTTTAAAAACGTCAATAGTTAAAAAAGTACAGCACAATTTAACAAAATTCATTATTTAATAAAACCAAATTTTATTCATTTTTTGTAAATGTACTTACCAAATACTGCGAAGTTCTGATGACTAATTTTCACAACTTCTGACATATGTAAATTTTTTTTTTCTATTACAATAATTGCATATATTTATGTGGATGCTTAAATTTTTATTTAAAAATTTATAAATACCTACTGAATATAAAATTTAATTACTAGATTATTTAAAAAAAAAATTGTTAACCAACCTGGTCAATATTTAATTTCTTTACTAAATTTATTAAAAATAAAAATTTAATTTTATTAAAATCTTCATAAAATTATCAAACATTCACTTGCGGATATAGTTTAAAATATAAATACTAGGAAAATATATACTTTTTATTTTGTTATATCGATAAAAAAAAGCCTATTGTTAATGTCATCTCTCTATTTTTTTCTGACAAGTCCGTCCCTATCGATGGTTATCAAGGTAATACTAATCCCATATTATAATCAATACAATCCTCATAAATCTCTCGTGTACTATTTTATTGTGTTGATTAAAATAATTAATTTTAAAAGATTTAGTTCTTTAAAATTTCACTGTAAATATATTTCTTTATTATTCTTAATTTTTAATTAATAATTAATTTATTAGAAAATTAGAGCGAACTAAATCTTTTAAAAAAAAGTAGTCGATTATTTGTTTTAACTGTTCTGAGGCACTAACTGATGTGTGTTACTTCAAGTCCACGTTTTTTAATACTCTAAATTATTTTTAATGTAATTAATTATTACAATAATAATAATTAAATTTAATATAATGGGTTTATTGGAAATTTTTGTGTTCACTTGTAATTATTTGTACATAACACTGTCGTACTATCGACTACGATTTATTTACTATCAGCACACAAGATATGCACTTGATGACATAAGGAGACGTCCACTGCAAGATTATTAGATATATAATAATAAAAAAAATCATTTTTCATCTTTTATTTATTAATTAAATTATACATTATAAATGTATACTTTATTTATTAATTTTATTTTGTTATTGTAAAAAATACTTATTTATTTTTTTGTATAATTTTTAACAGATCCGAGTCGCCGAAAGAAAAATCTAAGAAAAAAGACAAGTCTAAGAAGAAAAAGAAAGACAAGAAACATAAAAAAGTTGAAGTCAGTTCTTCTGATAGCGACTCCAGCGATGATTCTGATGATAGCAGGTAATTTATATTATTAAGAGAATAAGAAAAATTTTTTTTCATTATAAAATCGGATTTTTTAGTGGAATTCAGGCTGTATTAAAAAATGCTCTATTTTTAGATACATAATTAAGAAATGACCTTTTATCTTGTGAAATATTGACATTTTTAAAGATATAAGCTCATCCTGGTGTTACACTCATCAAGAGCTTTCATTTGAGTACCCACCACATCCATTTTTCATATATTTTATATATTTATATATATATATATATATATTATATATATGTATATATGAAAAATATATCAAAAATGCATGTGGCTACTTAAATAAAAGGTCTCAATAAGTGTAACATCAAGATGAGCTTATATCTTTAAAATTATCAATAATTAAGAAATGACCTTGTATTTTGAGAATTATTGACATTTTTAAAAATATAAGCTCATCCCGATGTTACACTCATCAAGGCCTTTAATTTGAATACCCACATCAATTTTTTCATATATTTTGAATATTTATATATATTATATATATATATGTATATATGAAAAATATATAAAAAATGCATGTGGGTACTCAAATGAAAGCTCTTAATGAATGTAACATCGGAATGAGCTTATCTTGTATCTTTAAAAATGTCAATAGTTCAAAAATTACAGTACAATTCAATAAATGTCATTATTCAATAAAACAAAATTTTATTTATATATAGTTCACAAGTCACGGCAGTCACATAGTGACTGCAAGGTTGCTAGTTTATATAATTAAGAGTAAAGAAAATTTTTTCTCCTGCGTATTTATATAATAAGTTTTTTAAATTGAATTTAGAATCATTGAAAAGGTCGAGACTTGAATTAGTGCTTTTAAAATGTTTCATTTCCTTTTTTAAAATAGTTCATTTATTATGATAAATTTTCGAAGTAGTTATAAAAAGATTAGAATTTCGCGATAAACAAAAATTGTTTTCTTAATTTATTTTGTTTTGTACATATATAAATGTGATTTGTCAAAAATTAATTTATATAATTAAGAGACTAAGAAAAATTTTAAACGGGTATATCTTTATCGTAAATTGGGTTTAATATTTTTTCAGCGATAGTCATTTATGATTTAAATAATTTAAAGAGTAAGGAAAATTTTCCGACGAGCATATTATTATTTTTAAAGGAATTTTTGTATTTTAATTTGGTATCATCAGAAAGGTCTTAATAAGAATTAGTGCCTTTTGGTTTAATATATTTTTTAGTAGTCAATTTTTTATTTAAAGTTTTTGGAGGAGTTTTTAATAGTTTGTTGGTTCTATAAATTTGTTCCGTGACATTTGTCCATTGAATTATTTGTAATTGATCCTGTGATAGCACTATTATTTTTAAAATTTATTTAAAAAGTACCCAGACTATGTATAGTGTCATAAATATAAAAAAATCATCACGTTTAAATTTTTTCATTTAGAATCCTTAATTTTGAGCAGTCACGTAGTGACTGCTCCCTAGTAAGACTTCAAATTTTTAATAAATTAATTTTTATATTCAAAAGATCTTTAAAACAATAATTTAAAAATTTTTTTTTTAACCTAGTACTTATAATCTAATTTTTCAACTTGAAAAAATTAAATTTTTTATTTTTAGTTCTTCAGAAGCAGAGTCTAAAAAGAAGAAAAGAAAGAAAAAGAAGAAATCTAAAGATGGAAAAAGTAAAGAGGTAAGAATTTTTAATTATTAAAACCTTACTAATTATTTATTAAAATAAATTTACAAATTATAAATGTTTTAAAATTAAACTAAGCACGAAATTGCATGTCCCTTATCACTTTATTTAAAAATAAAAAGGAAAATTATATTTTTATTTAAAATAATTTTATTAAAAAAAAAAAAATTATTTTTTTTTATTTAGTTATTTAAGTTACGCATGATTCCAGTGCTTGTTATTGTTAAAGAAAGAATTTTGAAGTTAAGAAAAAAAATCATTATTTCAAAGTGTAAATCTCAGTATTGTTTGTAATTATCAGCGCCATTTGACAGGATACATTCCCTGAGTGAGTACCCGATATGCCGCTACTCAATGTAATAAATAATTCGTAATTTATTATTATAAAAAGTAAATAATTGTATTTGATATAAAAAAAAAAAAAAAAAAAAAAAAAAAAAAAAAAAACGAGTTTGCGACTGCTGAATCACTTGTTTTTTTTTTCTTTTGTGTTGAGCACTCAAATCTACGTGCGTTTTTAAATACACGAGGCTTTCTAATCAATTAATGTACAGATTAAGATTAGTTACGATTAGATTATTAAAATAATAGATAAGAGTGTGTATAATAATTTATTTATATTTTTAAAAACTCGCCTGAATCCCATAATAAATATTACTCATTCAGTGAACCCATTACGCAGATTTTGATGAATTTACATTGATAAGTAAGAGAAAGACTGTTGACTGAATGCATGTCTTGATGTTTATTTTATTCTTAAATTATAATTCATTACTAATAGTATTTTATTGTTTATTCTAGAAGAAAAAGTCTGCCTCGAAACGTAAACGTCAATCATCTGAGAGTTCTTCAGACTCGTAAGTTATTTTTTTTTTTTTTAATTTATACACAGAAATAATAAAATAAAGAGATTTTTTAAATTAATTAGTATAAAAATTGACAAATATTAAATGGTAATTTTGAACTTTAATAATAAGGTTTTTTTTATTTAATAGCAGCTTGAAAAAAAAATTTTTAATAATTAAAAAACGACCTTAGATCTTGAAAACTATCAACATTTTTAAAAATATAAGCTCATTACGGTGTTACACTCATTGAGACCTTTAATTTGAATACCCACATCAATTTTTCATATATTTATATATATTACATGTATGTATATATGAAAAATATATCAAAAATGTATGTGGGTACTCAAATGAAAGCTTTTGATAAGTGTAACATCAAAATGAGCTTGTATCTTTAAAATTTTCAATAATTAAGAAATGACCTTGTATTTTGTTAATTACTGACATTTTTAAAGATATAAGCTCACCTTGACATTATATTCATTGAGACTTTTCATTTGAGTACCCACATCAATTTTTCATATATTTTATATATTTATATATTTCACAAATACCATATATATAAAATATATAAAAAATGCCATGTGGGTACTTAAATGAAAGCTCTTGATATGTGTAACATCAAAATGAGCTTATATCTTTAAAAATATCAATAATTAAAAAATGACTCTGTATATTGTCAACTACTGACATTTTTAAAGATATAAGCTCATCCCAATGTACAATTCTTCGAGACCTTTAATTTGAATACCCACATGCATTTTTGATATATTTTACATATTTATATATATTACATATATGTATATATGAAAAATATATAAAAAATGGCATGTGGGTACTTAAATGAAAGCTCTTGATTCATATAACATCATGATGAGCTTATATCTTAAAAAACGTCAATAGTTACAAAAATACAGTTCAATTTAACCAAAATCATTTAATATTAAAATTTTATTTATAATTCACAAGTGACTACAAACTTCCTAGTTTAATTTAAAAATTTTTTATTAACAATTTTTTTTAGTTCAAAACTAATTGAATTAATTTATTAAATTAATTACAGTTCTCCCGAGCGTCCACCAAAAAAATCAAAGAAACAGCAAGAAAAAATCCCCGAAAATCTTCCTATCATCGATCCACCACCCCGCGAGCGTCAAGCGCGTTCACCAAAGCGCCAAGAGCGTCTCCGAGGCGAGACACCTCCTCCAAGACCCCGAGACTCACCAATACGCTTACCAGAAAGTAAAAAAGACCGCGAAAAATCACCAGAAAAAAAGGAACGAACACCTTTATTACCTTTACCTCCAAAACGTCACGAGCGTCGTTCAATCTCTCGAAACCGGGAAAGAGTCCCCGACCTGCCTCGCCCCCGAAGATACTCCCGGCCGCGAAGAAGCCCCTCACCTCGCCGGAGGCGCATCTCACGTTCTCCTAGACGTATCAGCCGCTACTCAAGATCTAGAAGTCAAAGCAGACCCCGGTACGACAGATACCGCGGAGGTTCCCGACGCAGACCTTCACCCTTTCGCCGACGAAGATCCCGCTCCAGAAGACGCTCTCCTCGTCGAGATCGCCGCCGAAGATCCCTCAGCAAATCCAGAAGCCATTCTTCAGCCAGTTACTCTCCAGTCCGCAAGAATGCACCAGCTGACCGGTTCAAATCTTCCCAGGAGGACAAAAAGAAGCCCTTGAAGTCCAGGTCAGTCTCCAAGACCAGGAAATTAAAGCCAGTTGCTCCAAGGGTCAGCTTGAGGTCTTCCAGCGAAGACGAGGATATTGATGAGGAACATCAACAACATCAACAACATCAACATCAACAATCCAAGCTTGATGATGTTAATGAGGAAAAATTGAAGGAATTTAATACCTTGAAGCGGCTCCAGTCCGGGTTAGCTGCCAAAGCTCGAGAATCTTTGGGGAAAAAATTGAGTCCTGTTAAGGATAAAGTTAAAGAAAAAGAAGAAAGTGTTTTGGATATTGCTTTGCCTGATGATCCTCCAAAAATTCTTTCAACTATGTCAACTGTCCAGCCGATTGTCTTTAAGGAAAAGTCTAAATCTAAATCGCCAGTTCAATTAAATATCACCAGGTCTGTTGAATCCAGCAGATCTCCATCTCCAGCTTTGCTTTTGACTCGTGCTGAAGCTGAAGCTGCTGCTGCTGCAGCTTCTAATTCTTCTAATTCTAATTTGGCTACTGGAGTCTCCAAAAATTCTAATGTCCCGACAATTATTTCAAACACTATATCTCCAATTAAAATTCACATGAAAATTGCAACACCTCCAGGTGTAGCTATGCTGCTTCAGGAGAGAGATATTAAACTTAGATCACCATCAGAGTCCCCGCCGATGAATACAGTGAATAAAATGAATAAAAATAAAATAAATAAAATGAATAAAGTGAATAAAATACTCAGGTCAAGATCTCCAAGCACGCCGAAAAAATCTCCAAGTCCGAAAAAGAAATCTTACTCTAGATCTCCAACTCGCTCGTCATCTAGGTCAGTTTCTAGAGATAAAGAAGGGTCAAGGTCACCTAGAGGTAGGTCAGTGTCTAGGACCAGGTCTAAGTCTAGAGAACGTAAGGAGAGGACTAGGTCAAAGTCCAGGGAACGGAAAGAGAGGACTAGGTCTAAATCAAGGGAACGGAAGGAGAGAACTAGGTCCAAGTCTAGGGATAAAAAGTCGCTTTCTCCGGTCAAGAGGTCCAGGTCGACTTCCAGGACCAAGTTGTCACCGGCTTCTGCTGGGTCCAAGAATTCTAGAGGTTCGAGGTCTTCGTCGGGGTCGAAGCATTCTGGGTCGAGGTCTAGGTCCAGGTCTAAGAAAACTAACTCGAGGTCGCCGAAGAAAGTTAGGTCGAGAAGTAGGACCAGGTCGGAGTCACACAGGTCCAGGAGTCGGTCGATGTCGAAGAAATCACGTAGTAGGTCCAGGTCGGGGTCTAGGGATGTTCCCAAGAGGAGTCGGAGTCGCAGCAGTTCTCGATCGTCTCAAAGGTATTTTTTTATTATTATTATTATTATTATTATTATTATTATTATAAGCAAAATTTTATGGCCAGTGTGTTTATATGATAAAATGCTCTGTCTTTAGATACATAAGTAAGAAATGAGCTTGTATCTCGTGAAATATTGACATTTTTAATGATATAAGCTCATTCTGATGTCACACTCATCAAGACCTTTCATTTGAGTACCCACATCAATTTTTTTATATATATTTATATATTTATGTATATTATATATATGTATATATGAAAAATATATGAAAGTGCATGTGGGTACCCAAATGAAAGCTCTTGATGAGCGTAACATCAGGATGCGCTTATATCTTTAAAATGATCAATAATTAAGAAATTACCTTGTATCTTGTCAACTATTGACATTTTTAAAGATATAACCTCATCTTGATGTGACACTCATTAAAACCTTTCATTTGAGTACCCACATCAATTTTTCATATATTTTATATATATATATATATATATGTATATATGAAAAATATATAAAAAATGCATGTGGGTACTCAAATGATAGCTCTTGATGAGCATAACATCAGGATGAGCTTACATTTTTAAAAATATCAATTATTAAGAAATGACCTTGTATCTTAAGAATTATTGATATTTTTAAAGATATGAGCTCACTCCGACATTACACTCATCAAGACCTTTCATTTGAGTACCCACATGGCATTTTTATATATATTTCATATATACATATATATGATATATATAAATATATAAAATATATGAAAAAATTGATATGGGTACTCAAATGAAAGCTCTTGATGAGTGTAACATCAGGATGAGAGGATGAGCTTACATTTTTAAAAATATCAATTATTAAGAAATGACCTTGTATCTTAAGAATTATTGATATTTTTAAAGATATGAGCTCACTCCGACATTACACTCATCAAGACCTTTCATTTGAGTACCCACATGGCATTTTTTATATATATTTCATATATACATATATATGATATATATAAATATATAAAATATATGAAAAATTGATATGGGTACTCAAATGAAAGCTCTTGATGAGTGTAACATCGTGATGAGCTTATATCTTTAAAAATGTCAATAATTAAAAAATTACAGTGCAATTTAACAAAAGTCATGATTTAATAAATCAAAATTTTATTTATTAAAAATTGATAATAAAATTAAAAATTCTAATTCAGCTCAACAAGACGCAGCAGAAGAAGTTTTTCAAGTTCATCTCGATCATCTAACAGTGCGTCTAGTAGATCATCACGTAGCTCAAGCGGCAGCTCTAGCTCAAGTCGTTCCCGTTCGCCATCAATACCCAGACGCCGTGGTTCACCGAGTTTTCTCGATCGTCGCCGAATCACCAGGTGAATTTTAATAAAAAAAAAAAATTTTTAATAAACATTAGCCAATTTTTTATTTCGGCTATTTTATTATTTATTTATTTTTTTTTTTACTGCACCAACTTAAAGTTGTATTCACTCGCTCAGTATAGTACATTTATTTTATTATTTACGTTTATTATTATTATTATTATTATTTTATTTAGTTATTTTTGTTTGATTTGATTTAATTTTAAATTATCCAATTACGAGTAATGACAAAAACTAAATGACTTACGTAAATAAATAAAAAATAAAATCTAAAAAAAGTAAATATCTAAAATGAAATATTTTGAAATTTTTTTAAATAATTGAAGATCAAAATTAAATACAATTAATGATCATTCAATTTGTAATAAAATTTCCTAATTTTCTTCTTTGTTTTTTGTTTGTTATATCTAGCAGATACAGATCAAGGCGCAGGCATAGAAGATAGAGTGTATTCAGGAATCACACAGATAACTGTATAAAATGATTTTATCATTTTATTATTTTTTCTCTTTCGTTCATTATTAATTAACTGGAAAAAAAGTATTTAAAAATAATTACACGTTTTTAAATTTAGCTTCTGAATTGACTCAGTAAAAATTAAAAAAAACATCAAATAAATTTTGATACAAATGAATTAATTAATATACATATATAACAAAAGCCAAATGATAGAATTTTTTTTAATCTTATAATTTTATTATTTTTTATTTTATATTTTTATCATTTTAAATTTAATCATGTGGATGCCCATTATCACTCAACTTTTCGTTTTTTGCATTATCATACGTAGCATGTGTGTATTACCTACCTGTATGTTAATGTTCCTTATTTCATAAATAATAATGTTATATTATCTACACTATAACTTATTGTAAATTGATTTTAAATACAACTGCAAGTAGTTTTTAAAATATTTTATTTGCATTATAAATAAATAAATGTATTTATTAGTTTATTGCTAGTTATTTTTATTTATTTATTTTTATTATTAATGCAATTAAATAAGTTTTTAGTGATTAATTTTTTAAATATTGACATTTTTAATAATGTAAGCTCATTTCAGTGTTACACTCATAAAGAGTTTTCATTTGAGTACACACATGCATTTTTAATATATTTTTCATATATACATATATATGATATATATAAATATATAGAATATATGAAAAAATTGATGTGGGTACTCAAATTAAAGGTCTCGATGAGTGTAACATCAGGATGAGCTTATATCTTTAAAAATGTCTGTAGTTGATAAAGTACAAGGTCATTTCTTAATAATTGAGAATTTCAAAAACATAAGCTCATTTTGATGTTACACTCATAAAGAGCTTTTATTTGAGTACCCATATGCATTTTTGATATATTTTTCATATATACATATATATAATATATATAATATATATAGAATATATGAAAAATTGATGTGGGTACTCAAATTAAAGGTCTCGATAAGTGTAACATCGGGATGAGCTTTTATCTTTTAAAATGTCAGTAATTAAGAAGATACAAGGTCATTTCTTAATTATTGACATTTTTTAAGATATAAACTCATTTCGATGTTATACTCATCAAGAGCTCTCATTTGAGTACCCACATGCATTTTTGATATATTTTTCATATATACATATATATAATATACCTAAATATATAAAATATATGAAAAATTGGTGTGGGTACTCAAATGAAAGGTCTCAATGAGTACAATGCCGGGATGAGCTTATAAATTAATTTTTTTCAATTAAAAAAAAAATTAATTGCATTAATAAAAAAATACAAATTATAATTTATTTATAAAATAAACTATAGTTATCACTTTTGTGAATTTTTTTTTGCATCGAAGTGTATCACAAAAATAGAAGAAACTACGGTAAGTACCACCGAATTATTTTTTTTTTGCATGATTATTTTTCAAAGCTTGATTATTAAAGAAGAAAATCCAAAACCCTTAACTACAAATTTCTATTAATTTAAAAAAAAAAAGAGTGATTAAAAATCTAACAGCATTACAATTAAAAAAAAAAATGGATAAGCACTAAACAAAATTGGGTTCTAGTGCTAGAAAACGACCGATACCATATCACCGGCCAACACCTTCACCCCAGTCTTCGCCGAGCAGCAGCGAGAGCAGCAGACACAGCGACTGGTCGAGTCCCAGCAGAAGATCTAGTCATTCACCCACACGGAGTCCTTCTTACTCTCGTTAAAATAATTTAAATTAAATTGTAAATGTTAATTTGTCGTTGCATAGCTCAAAAATACGAACTAAAATAATTAAAATAGTTTAATTAAATTATAAATGCAATCGACCCTAGTCAGATTAAAATTTTTAATTATTAAATTAATTGAATAATTGATATTGCAAAGCGACCAATTAAATTATTGTGATTCGATAAATATTTTAGTGCAATGTTATAATCACCTGTTTCATCATATGTAAATAGATTATTTATACGCTCGATTAATCATAGAATAATAATATGATCTCAGTCATTCCAAAGTGTGTGATTATAATTAAATAATTAATTAATTAATATTTATTACGCGTGATAATTAGAATTTTTTTTTTAGGTAAAAATTTATCAATACTCAGAAGCTTTTAAATAAAATTTTTAAGTTAATTAATTTAATGATATTAATTGAAATTAATTCTCTGTCGTTAAAAATATATTAAATTTCTGAAATGAATCTGTAATATATAAACATGTATTGTTGTTGTGTGATTAAAGTTCCAAGTGCTTGATAATAAAATTAAATTTTAAAAATTAACAAATTTTATTTATTAATTTACTTACGTTTGTAACATTGGAAAAGGAATGTAAATTGTAATTAAAAAAAAATGTAATGGCAAATATATTTCAAATTTGTGTTTTTTTTTTCCCCTTTAATTTCTTCTTTGTCTTCTAGCGTCGCGAGCTCGGACGTTTGCTAGGTACACTGTCCATGCGAGGCCGATGAAATTCACTACCAAGACTTTCAACTAAAAATAAATTAATTTTTAATTAATAAAGATTTTTTTTTGACAATGAAATTTAATAATTACCATTGGTGGAACATAACGAATGTTTATAAATTGCAAAAGAGTTATAAGTATATTACATACCTAGGCCAGTAAAATAAGAAAAGTCTCAGATCACATGTTATTGTTGGCCGAGGCGAAGCCGAGGCTTACAAACATGTGATCTGAGGCTTTACTTTTTACTGGCCAAGGTGTGTATACTATTTTTTTGCTCGACGGGCAGAAAGTGTCAAATTTCGGCCCGCTGCGCTAAACGAAATTGCCACTTTCTGCCTTTGCTTGAGCTGGGAAATGCACCTTCGACAATTTGGTTTAGCCACTCCAGCTCTCACTGGAAAAGGTTAACACCTAAAATCCTTGACTCATTCACTGCCCATCTCAGACGCCTTGATCTAAATATTATTAAGGATAAAACCTCCTGTCAAGTCAACATCCCAAGAGAACTGGGTGCACCTAATGCGTCTTATTTAATTAACAGTTCGTTGATACACAGCCAGAGTTATAGCACAAGCAAGACTTGCCAACAACCACTATTACAGGTTTAGCTTCAAGCGCATGCACTTCGGATTAGACCCTCAGCTCCCCTGTTCCATCTGCAACCTTCACGAAAAGGAAAACCTAGCACATATCTTCCTCAGATGCCCGATATATAACCCTTACAGAGATCATTTTCTCTCCTCTTTACTGTCGTCTCTAACGCCTGACGTTGATGATGACAATTTACTACTTCTCCACTTACTTAACGACCCTAGACCATCGACAGTCAAAGCAGTCTACTTATATCTATCTCGCTCTATGAAACTAAGAGCTTTCTGCCTAAATGAATAGGCGAATTAATCGTTCATAACATTATAATACTATCCTCAATTCCCTCAACTATTTTTGTCGCCCTATCTAGTCTTATTTAACTTGATTTCAACCCTTTTGGGTACAGTGATGTTATTGTTGCTCTCATTTTAATTACTATGTATATTTAAGCTATTTGTAAATTATCCCACTATTAAATGTTAACCAGTTTACAATATTATAAGACGAATATTTATATATGAACTTTGTTGTAAATCAACACTGCTTTAAGCACCGCTTTATAAGCAGTTTTTTCTTTAAATAAAAATAAATTAACACTGGGGTCTTTAGCAACGACTCCAATTCCAGTGATTGTCTGCGTTTTTTAACAATTATTTGGTCCACGTTCCTGCTAATCTTATTATATACGTATATTTAAATTTCCCCGGTAGTATTTCAGTGTATTGGTGAGTTATTATTCTTTATATTCATTAGTTTATAAAAAAATAAGCCACAATTTCTATCAAATTTACCTGAAAAGAGCGAAAAAATTGATAGAAAAAAAAAAAAAATGGAAATCGGAATTGAATAATTAATATTTTATTTTTTTTTATCCTAGAAATTATTTTTAATTATTAATGAAAGAATATACTTTTTAATTGCTTATCGCAGAGTCGTTTGACTTCGTCTATAAATAAAAAAATATTTATAATTAATTAATAAATAAACAATTCTGAAATCAGACATTGAACAGTTTTTTTTTTTTTAATTTTTCAGATGGAATTTTGAAGTGAAAAAAAAAAAAAAAAAAAAAAATTGTCAAATGTCTGAAATACTTTGTATATAATTAGAATATACGCACCATCAATTTCAATAATATTTGCATTTTTTTGTTGTATCACAACATAAAATTCCCGTAAGTTAGATAATTTTCCAACAACCCAATAATCACTCATAGTTTTAATAATCGTCTCGCCGTCTTCTTTCAGCCGGTTTGAATCACTATTAATATCTGTAATTATTCTCAATACTTCTGGAGTTGTCAGTACATTTGAGCAGCGTCTGTTGTCCAGGTGGATCGTACTCTTGTACGCCAAATTTAGTCTGTTGAAGTAAAGGTACTTCGGAGCTGAGTCGGAAACATCTGGTACGTGTTTGGAGTACTGCTCTGCTACAGTGTTCACCAGAGTCGTCAACTGAGGACCCAAGAATGCGTCGAGACTTTTTAGATAGTCAATTAATAAACTTGTACCTATAAAAATATTATTTAATTAATTTAATTTTTTTTTTTTATAATTTATAGTTTTATAAAATAAAATAACTTACTGTCGACAAATAGGCAGAGAGTTGCACTTAGTGCGCTATAAACAACTAAATATAATGAGGTAGGTTTATTTGGATAATTTATAAAGACTTTTGGCGATTTTGTAATACCGATTGATTCATTTAGGCTCGATGCTCCAGTAACAAATCTAAAAAAAATTTTTTTTTAAGAATTTATTTAATTTTTTTTAATAATAATTAGCTTACTTTCCGTAATGAGAACTTGTGAAAGGTGACGCTGAATTACGTGGCATTGATCCGCTGTGAAATTCTTTTTCTAGATACTCTGGCAAAAGACTGCTTATTAAATAATTATAAACAACTTGCATGTCTTCTGCCTCCAATCCGCTCCTAAAAAAAATAAATAATATGGTTAGAGGAGTTTTTTTTAATAAATTTTCAATTTTTTAATTAAAAGCTTAAAATTTCTAATTAAAAATTTTATTTAAAATTATAATACTTGTTTATTATATTTACCATACTAATTGGTCGTTATATAGGAATGCTGTGTATTTTATCTGTGGGAATGTCGCTTCAATAAGGTTCATAAAACATTGGACCTTTAAAAATGTTATTTTATCTAACGGTAAAAATTGTAGTCCTTGAAAAATATCTAGTATATCACGATGATTCAGCTTTAATGATGGTAAATACTGTAATAATTAATAAATTTTTTATTATTTATTATTTATAAAAATAGTAAGAATATTTAATTTAAAAATCCAACTTGAGAGACTTCTTAATAAATTATATTAAAAAAAAAATTAAAATGCAATTTTAAAAAAATAATTTTCTAGACTTAGTTTATTTTTTTTAGAAAAATTAGGAAATTGTCAACTACTAATTCCAGTGTCATAAAATTGATAAAAAAATTTTTTTAATTCTAATCAAGACAATTTTTAAGTTGAAATTTTGTTTAAATTAAAAATGTTGGATTTTTTTTTTTTTTTTTAGAATTATCTTCTTGATGTTACTTGTTTAAAATTAATAATAATTTTCATTGTAAATAATCAAATTCTTTGCTTTCAAACAAAACATCAAGAATAATTAAAAAGTTAATATAAAAAAATAATAAAATTACCCCAGTATAAAAATAATCTAATTTATGTTTTAGTAACGTAACTGACCCATACTGAGGATCATTTAAAATAGTCTCAAACGATCCCATAAATAGTCTAAATCTCATATAAGCTTGCTTAAGTATAGCCTGACACACTGAACTTGATACTTCGTCATGCTGATACTCGGTATAATCAATTCCATCTTTATTTTTCACCACATAAGGAACTCCAATGATCTAAAAAAAACAATTTTTTTACCTTAAAAAAAATTTAATTTTATAATAAAAAATGCCAGATGTTCATTTTAAAATTTTTATCTACCATAATCATCCAGAAATCTGGCTCTGGCTGATAATAAATCTGTCTTGTTTTGTGATTATTGCAATAATCACATGTTTGTCCTGGATTAAACGATCTAAAAATAAAAAAAAAATTTAATAATAATTATGAAAATTAATTTAGCAGATATTTAATAATTTTAATAATTTTATAACAAAAAAATTGACAAGTAGAAATTTCAAGAAATTAAAAATGCAATTTTTTTAAAATAATTTTTTTAATAAATAAAATAAAAAAAATTATTAAGTGACTCCTTTAATGTTATTTAATAATTACAAAACAAACAAATAAATAAATAACTTACTCAGTAAATTTAATAATTGCTTCGCTTAATCCGACATTACGGATTTTAGTGTCGACATCAATTTTTTCTGGATAATAATAAAATATTTTTTTTTCTTCCTAAAATATTGAAATTATTAATTAATTAATTTTATTTATTATAAATAATAATAAAATATTTACATCTCCTTCTTTTTTGGAGTAATTCCCATTAAAAACATAAAAGTGATCCAGTGTAACATCTGATTTAGAAGTCATTATTATTATTATTATTATTATACCCAACAATCAATAATAATAAGCAATAAATAAATTTATTTATTTATTTATTTATTTGTAATTATAGCCGTTTAAGTTTTTTTTTATAACATTGTGTTGTTTTTGACAGCTAACCTATCAATAGTTGGGATTTTTTTGACAAACTGGCAAAAGATGGAAGATCTGCCATCTGTAGTCTATTAACAAACTATACAATCAATAAAAATAATCCAATAATTATAATAATAAAAATTTAATTTAAAAAAACAAAATGTACAGTTAAGTCATATAAATATTCTTATCAGCTGATAAGTTTTTTTTTGTTAGATTAAAAGTTTTTTAAATAATACTTGCTCTGTTTGTTTTTTTTAAGAGTTTAATTTAAGAAAATTTATTAAATTTATTTTTAATAAATATTTATATTTAATTAAAGAAAAAAAATATATTTTTGAAAAATGTCTTTGTCAAAGCCGTCCGAAATTGCTTTTAATCTTGTTGCTTCTTATATGAATAATTTATATAATAATCCAATAAAAACCAAAGCAATAACTAGGTAAGAATAAATTTATTTATTTAATAATTTTTAATATGATTTTTAGAATTTTTTTAAGAAATAAATTAGTGCAAAAAAAATTAGAATAAAAAATTGACTTGTAGAAATTTTTAAAAATTAAAAATGCAATTTTTTAAAAACAATTTTTTTTATTAAATAAAATTAAAAAATTTTTAAATTACAGCTGACTTTAATATCAAATTTATGTTGAGAATATTTCTATATTATTTATTTATTTATTTTTAATATAATATAATTTTTTTTAACAGCTGTGTAATAGCGACACTGGGAAATTACATTGCACAAAAAACTCAAGGTGTCAAGGAAATTGATCATGATACTCTTGCATCTTATGGAATATTTGGGTAATTAAATTAAAAACTAATAGTTTAATTAATTAGAATTGAAAATAATAATTTATTTTTTTATTGTAGACTTCTTTTTGGTGGAACAGTGCCACATTTTTTTTATAAAATTATTTATAAATATTTGAAAAATCCACTGGCTATTTTGATGATTGAAAGGTTGCTGTACACACCATGCTTCCAAGTTCTTGCTCTCTATATGTTAGCTAGGTTTGAGGTAAAAATTGATCAAAATTAAATAAATAAGTAATTTTTTTAACAAATTTGTTTTTAAAAAAAAAATATCAATAACTTCAATGTCATAATTCTTGAAAAATATTTTTTTTTTTGATAATTAATTTAAGCTAAATTCGAAAATACTCTATCTCTAGATATATAATTAAGAAATGACATTGTTTCTTGAGAACTATTGACATTTTTAAAGATATAAACTCATCCTGATGTTACACTCATCAAGACCTTTCATTTGAGTACCCACATCAATTTTTTCATATATTTATATATATCTACATATATTATATATATATGTATATATGAAAAATATATCAAAAATGCATGTGGGTACTCAAATGAAAGGTCTTGATAAGTGTGACATTAAAATGAGTTTATATCCTAAAAAATGTCAATAATTAAGAAATGACCTTGTATCTTGTTAACTAATGACATTTTTAAAGATATGACCTCATTCCGATGTTACACTCATCGAGACCTTTCATTTGAGTACCCACATCAACATCAGAATGAGCTTCTTTGAAAATATATTGATATTTAAGAATAGTTAAGAAAGTACAGTTGCTAGTTTTAATTTTTAATAATTAATTTCAGGGTAAATCTCATCAACAAGCATCAACAAATCTCCAAAGACTCTATTGGCCCGTACTAAGTGCAAATTTAAAATATTTAACACTTTTGCAATTTATAAACATTCGTTACGTTCCACCAATGGTAATTATTAAATTTCATTCTCAAAACAAAATCTTTATTAATTAAAAATTAATTTATATTTAGTTGAAAGTGCTGGTGGTGAATTTCATCGGCCTCGCATGGACAGTGTACCTAGCAAACGTCCGAGCTCGCGACGCTAGAAGACAAAGAAGAAATTAAAGGGAAAAAAAAAACACAAATTTGAAATATATTTGCCATTACATTTTTTTTTAATTACAATTTACATTCCTTTTCCAATGTTACAAACGTAAGTAAATTAATAAATAAAATTTGTTAATTTTTAAAATTTAATTTTATTATCAAGCACTTGGAACTTTAATCACACAACAACAATACATGTTTATATATTACAGATTCATTTCAGAAATTTAATATCTTTTTAACGACAGAGAATTAATTTCAATTAATATCATTAAATTAATTAACTTAAAAATTTTATTTAAATGCTTCTGAGTATTGATAAATTTTTACCTAAAAAAAAAAATTCTAATTATCACGCGTAATAAATATTAATTGATTAATTATTTAATTATAATCACACACTTTGGAATGACTGAGATCATATTATTATTCTATGATTAATCGAGCGTATAAATAATCTATTTACATATGATGAAACAGGTGATTATAACATTGCACTAAAATATTTATCGAATCACAATAATTTAATTGGTCGCTTTGCAATATCAATTATTCAATTAATTTAATAATTAAAAATTTTAATCTGACTAGAGTCACTGCTGATCGGACGCTTTCTGGAGTAACGTCTACTCCCGCTGCTTTTAGTGCTGACTTAATCCAGCCTGCTATCACGGTGCGTGAGGCATCGGTGCGATAGTGCCACCAGGATATGAAAGTATGCCTGGGACATATCGATTCGGACCATCCAGACTCCAGGTTGCAGGACGTCTGGAATGTGACGATGCGAGATTAAACTGAACTCTAATCTCCTTACGAACCTGTTGAGGTGGCGTAAATCGAAAATTAGTCTCCAAGACTCGTCTGATTCCTTTACCAGGAACATCTGGAAAATAAAGCTTGGACTTGGATTCCTGGGGGGATTCCAAAATACCTTAATCCCTGAGCAGCTCGATCTGCTCCTTCATCTCGTTTGAGTAGGTTGTCTTGAACCTGGAAAATTGCCATTGAGGATTTATTTAGGCTTGGTTTATCTGCGAACGGACTGTGATAACCTGAAATCATCTAGAGTATTACTTCGGGGGCTCACAGCTCTTGCCATTTGCCCAAAAATTTGACGAGCCGGCCTCCAGAAAATATTTGAGGGTTCATATAGTCATTTGTCGGATTTCTTGCGAAGGGAATCCACACTTTTGGCTCTAGAAAAGTCCTGCTTGGGCTTAAAGTTAGAGTTATTACCTGGTTGACGAGGTATTGTGTTGCTTCTAGCCTGGAATCCCTGTCCTGTGGGAGGTTGGAGTCTTGGTGGAGGGCTTAGCCATGATTGTACCCCCTCCCCCTAGAGAAGCTATTAGTGAAGTCAGCTCCTCCTTCGCAAAAAGAATTTCAGAGCTTAGTGGGATCTTCCTTGGGGCCACCTGGACATTTTTTACTGGGATTTCTGCCAAGATTCGTTCTCTCTTGTTTTCGATGCATTCAGCTCTCTTTCCACGAATTACCTAAAAAGCTTGTTCAAGATTATTAAAAAATTGTTGAGCCTGCACCGGAAGTGTCAGTTACTACCTTGGCGAGGTCCTCTTTAGCGAGAACTGCCTGCTTATCTATTATCCAGTCAATAGAATCGACAAGAATATACTTAATATCTCTCTGATCTAGAAGGACATGTCAGTCCAGCCCTGACTCGGTCCGTGGTTAAAAAGGTGTCTTTACCTTTTTCAAGATAACCTTGTTAACTTTGAGTTCTGTAAACTCAGGAGTACGTACCAAATTTTTGAGCACCTCTGAGTATCTCACCTTCTTTCATTCGCTGGAATCGAAGTGTTGTAAAACGTGTACTTGACTCATTCGTTCCTCCGTTGTCGCCTGAGAGATTTTCTTCTCGACAATAGTAGTCGAACACTCATCGAACTCTACGAGTAGTGAGAAGCCTACTGGGGATACTCGGTCTGCTTAGATGTAGCCTGCACTCCCTGGGGCAAAAAACTAGGCAAAAGATTACTGAGAAAACTTAACTGACTCCTCATGCTTTCTACGTCTTCCTCTAAACGTGTCTTTCTTTTGCCGGGAGAGCTTCGGTCTGCTCGTCGTTTTCACTCATTTTTTTTTTTTTTTTTTTTTGCTTCGTCTGGATTGACAAAAAATAATAAATTACACTTAAAAAATACTGTTTTCGCTTTAAGTAATAGACTGGGGATGCCGTGTATCGGCTATAGGGGACATAATTCATTATACGTACCTGAAATAAAAGCAAATTAGTTCTTAAATTAATAAGAATAGTGTTAAAAATTTCAAACATAAATAATAATAATAATAAATTCAATAAATAAATAAGTACAAAATAATAAATTCAGTGGATCTGTTGCCAATTTTAGGCGCAGGGAGGGACGCACACAGGGAATAAAAACCCTGTGACAAATTCTTAAAATTATAAAATATCTGCTTAATTAATTTTCATAGTTAAATATATTAAAAATGAACTTGAATTTTTTCTTCAACTTAATACAAAATTATTAATTTTATTTTATTGTAGATGCTCCAATTAAAGCCGTAAAAAGCAAAATTACTTGAAGCCCATAAATTAAAGCAGATGATTACTAAAACCGTCAACAAAACTGCTGAATCTGAATTAAGAGAACGTGCTCTTGATGGAAAAATGTCGTTAGTAAAAAAAACTCCTGCAGTAAAAAAATAAAATTGTAAACACAAAAAAAATTTTCAAATTTTAGAATAATTAAACTATTAAATTATTTTATACAAATTTATTTTATTGAAATTAAAATAAAATTATAACATGAGTCATACCGAACACGCAAAATCGATCTGCCTAATTCATATTTGTTTGTGGTATTGTCTCAAGTAATGTTTTTACTAATTAAATTTTTTAAAATTATAATCACTGATATTTATTAATTAAATCTAAATAATTAAATAGATTATTTGGAGATAGCAATTATTGGCAGGTTAAAAAACTGATTGATCTAATTATTGACATACCTTCACCCAAATTATTGACACCTATACTAAGCATGCCTACAATCACCTGCTTATTCTTATTTATCCAAACTTATTATTAAGTAATCAATTTTATTAAAGCTTATTAATAATAATTTCCATAAATGATTAATTAGATTAATAGATTAATAGATTCTCTTGAATTAAGAAAATTATCTTGACTCAAGAATTTTTCCTCTTGGCTCAAGAAATTCATTTTCTTCCAATTGGTGTTCTTGAGTCAAGTTAAAATTTCTATCGGTGTAATTATTGACAACCATTATTTAAATATTATAAAGCATACAATTAATTTCAATTATTCAATTTTATATATTTTTCATATATTGTTTTCCTCAACAATTTCTTCCTCCTCCTCCTCCTACACTTTTTCATCATCAATTTTGCTATTCAAAGGAATAGTATTACTAAACTTTATCAGTTTAGCAACAAAAAACCCATCAACATTATGGGTATGAGGATAATACCTCCTCGTAAGTTTCATACTCGGATGAAACCGATGTTCTCTATAATTAATATAGCCCTCTTCTCCAAAGTCCAGCCCCGTCGGGACTAACTTAACATTCCTCTTCTTCAGCGCATAATTAATAATGCACTCATTTTCCTCCGGAAGAATCGAGCAAGTGGAGTAAACAATAACAGCAGCTTTAGACTTGGCATTAACGCAGTCAATAGCAGCAAGGAGTAATTCTCTCTGCAAAGTAAAGCACCTTTGCACATCCGTTTTGTCCTTGTTAGTCTTAACACTGGGGTCTTTAGCAACAACTCCAGTTCCAGTGCAAGGCGCGTCTAAAAGAACTCTATCAAAGCCTTTAATAATCCCTGGGATTTTCCTGCCGTCGTAATTAGTAATCACAGAATTAACAACTCCAAGACGATGAAAATTACCCACGACAGCTTTGAGCCGGTCTGCGTTGACGTCATTGGCGAAAAGAACTCCAGTGTTCTTCATCTGAGCGGCAATATGAGAAGCCTTGCCACCTGGAGCTGAGGACATGTCAAGAACCCGCTCGTTTTCTTGAGGATCCAATGCCATCACTGGCAACATACTGGAGGCTCCTTGGAGCACGTAGTGACCTGCTAGGTACTCCGGAGTCGCTCCCATTGGTACCTGCGATGAGTAAATAACTAGACCTACCTTGGTCCACTTTCCCACTGGGTCAAGATTTACTCCCCGGTTTATTAAAGCTTGGGCTAAGTCACGTCTGCGGGTTTTTAAAGTGTTGGTCCGGATTGTTAAGGGCCTCTGGACTTCACTGGCCTCCAGGTAGTCCACCAGCTCACCCAGAGGGAAGATTTGCATTAAGAGCTCCATCAGGAACTCGTTGTAACTGTAGTAGGAGCACAGGTCTGACTTGAGAAGCTCCACGTACTCGCTACGGCCCCGGTTGGGGTCTCTTAGGCGCTTGAAGTCGTTGAGGACCATTATCAAGTCCCGGATTCGGGTCTGGATGTCTTTTAAAAGGAGTGGTTGTTGTAATTCTTCTTCGGTGGGGAATTCAAAGACACATTGGCGGACCATTTCGTCTGTTTCGGCTTCGTCGAGTTTTCTGAAATGCAAAAATTAATTTAATTTTTATAAAAATCTTTGATGTCTGATAGATTAAAGATAATTTTTAAATAAATAGCATTGCAGTCACTTCGTGACTGCCGTAAAATTTTGGTTTATTAAATAATTAATTTTGGTAGATTGCACTGTACTTTTTTAACAATTGACGTTTTTAAAAATATAAGCTCATCCTGATGTTACATTTATTAAGAGCTTTTATTTGAGCACCCACATGCATTTTTGACATATTTTTCATATATACATATATGCAATATACATAAATATATGAAAAATTGATGTGGGTACTCAAATGAAAAGTCTCGATGAGTGTAATGTCGGGGTGGGTTTAGATCTTTAGAAATGTCAATAGTTCATGAGATACAAGGTCATTTCTCAATTATTGACATTTTTCAAGATATAAACTCATTTCGATGTTACACTCATTGAGACCTTTCATTTAAGTACCCACATGACATTCTTTATATATTTTATATATATATATAATATATATTATAGATGGTATATATGAAATATATAAAATATATGAAAAATTGATGTGGGTACTCAAATGAAAGGTCTCGATGAGTGTAACATCAGGATGAGCTTATATTTTAAAAAATGTCAATAGTTCATGAGATACAAGGTCATTTCTTAATTATTGACATTTTTCAAGAGATACTCATTTCGATGTTACACTCACTGAGACTTTTCATTTAAATACCCACATGACATTTTTCATATATTTTATATATATGGTATTCGTGAAATATATAAATATATAAAATATATGAAAAATTGATGTGGGTACTCATATGAAAGGTCTTAATGAGTGTAACATCGGAATCAGCTTATATTTTTAAAAATGTCAATAGTTCATAAGATACAAGGTAATTTCTTAATTTAAATTGACTATTGGTGAGAATAATATGAAACCTAAAATAATTATACTTACTTTTCTTCTTCATATTTCTTTTGTAATTTTTTACTTTCTCGTTCAATAGGAAGCAAATCATCATCATCATTATCATCATCATCACTGTCTCCCCCCTCGTCACTATCATTGTCATTTTCTTCTTGTTCTTCAGGTTCTTGGTCATCCTCATCTTTCTCCTCGGTTCCTTCAGCTTCACCATCAGAATCATCAGCTAAAATATCACGCTTCTGTTTAACAAACATTCCCGTTTTAAATTTGCTGTCGTCCATTGGCTCTTCTTCGGAAGCATATTCCTTCAAATAAAAATAAATTAATAAATTATCAAAAAAAAAAAAATAAATAATGATAATAATAATAAAGATAAACTTACAGGATCAGATTCATCTTCAGACTCAGTTTTCGCAACAACTTTCTGCTTTTTGAATGCAGGACCGTCTTTTTGAAATTTATTATTTCTTTTTGGTCGTTTTTTCATCACATCAAATCTTTTTTTTTGACGAGGATCTGAATATTCATTTCGGTCTCCTTTAACTGAATAATAAAATTTATTTGTTATTAAAATTAGCAATTACTCATCAATTTTTTTATTTTTTTTTAACAAAAAAAATTGGTTCCAAAAAATTAATTTAAAAAAAATTGCATTTTTAATTTTTACAAGTCAATTTTATAATAATAAATTTCTAAAAATTTTTAAAAGTCATCTAATTTAATTTTCATTGTTTAAAAAAAAGTGTATATATTTAATCACCTTGTAAAGAACGCGGTAACACCGGATCTCCCTGTTTCCTGGCTTTTCTTCCAGGACCTTTAATCGCCTTCGGATCTCCATACTTTGCTTTACGTCCCATTTTATATTGTTAATTTTTTTATTAATTTATTTATTAATCAGCTGATTTTAAAAAAACTAAAACGTAAATATATTTTTTTCACCGACCACGTGTAGTGCAATCACGTTAGATTTGGTATATAATTGGAATACTTACTTTTTAAGGTTAAAACGTTTAAAAGGAGGGGAGTGAATTATTTTCTGACTATGCGCATGCGCGCCACTTTTAACACCTTTTAATCTTTTAATGCCAGCTAGCGCCTCTACCGTCTTCTTTTGTTAACTTATTGGCGGGAATATTTAAAAATTAATTTATTAAATAAATAATCAAATTTAAATTAATAAAGTAATTATAAAAAAATTGATAAAGTAATTAAAATTGATTTTTAAAAAGTATTTTTAAATAATAATTTAAGAAATTACTAAAAATAAAAAGTTAAAAATAAGTTTGAGAATCCTAACCTAAATTATTTTACATTCTCACGTGTGTTAAGTGTGTGACACAAAGCGCAATATAATAAATAAACAATTAGTTATTGTTTTAATAATTTAATAATTAAATTTTTTTAAAAAAGAAATAAAAAAATGGCTCAAGGTAAAATGAAAGTTAAAACAAAATTACCTGATAATGCTAAAGCAAAACAGGCAAAAAATAAAAAAGGACCTGCTGTTCAACGTCGTGGAAGTAAGTCAGCTGTTTACATTAATAATATACATTTAAATAATATATAATTATATGAATAACAATAAAGTTAGCCAGCATATAAAAATTTTTAGAATTTTTTTTGTTGAAAAAATCATTAAAAAAAAATTTTTTTAGTTCCAATTTAGTAAATTAAACAAAATAAAAAATTTCCACTAACTTTATTATTATATTATATGATATTTAATTTTTTAATTATTTTGTAATTAAATATATTAAAAATAAACTTTAATTTTTCCTTTCACTCAATACAAAATTAATGATAATTTTATTTTATTGTAGATGCTCCAATTAAAGCCAAAAAAGCAAAATTACTTGAAGCCCATAAATTAAAGCAGATGATTACTAAAACCGTCAACAAAGCAGCTGAATCTGAATTAAGAGAACGTGCTCTTGATGGAAAAATGTCATTAGTGAAAAAAACTCCTGCTGTAAAAAAATAAAATTACAAACAAAAAATTAAAAAATTCTAGAGTTATTTTACTATTAAATTATTTTGTACAAATTTATTTTATTGAAATAAAATACATGAGTCATACCGAACACGCAGAATCGAACTGCCTAATTCATATAATCAAATCTATATTATATATTATTATATAACCACAGGATAAAAAATTTTCTAGGAAAAATTTATTAAAAAATCAATTTCAACATTAATTTATTTTATTACACTTTGTACATGAATGTAAAAAATTTTTAAATGAAAAATCATGAAATTTTATTCATGGCACAATATAAATACAATAAATACATTAACAATTAACTTAATTAAGTTAATCATTTTAATGCATCATATAATATTCTTCAACAGTTTATTTATTAATTTATTTTTATAATCATTTGATATTAATAAAAATAATATAATAGTAATAAATTGATAGAAATATTAAAACTTAAAAAAAGGCATATATTATTTATTGTTTCAATCACATATATGAGGCAGCTTTATGTTTATAGTTTTTTTTCATCAATTATGGTGAAGCAACCTGTAAAAAAAATTTTTATAGTTTTTAATAAATAATAATAAGTTAAAAAAAAAAAAAAATATTTACCACTAATAAATGACCACTTTGTCGATTTTTAGTAATTGCGGGTGTATTTCCTCTTCTGAATTCGATTGTACCTTCTTTTCCACTGACTAGCTTATGCGAGACTCTGAAATAAATTTATATTATATTATTCTATTTTATTTTATTAATCTGAGACATTTTATAATTTTTTATAAATGTCTTATAATATTTTTTATTATGATAAGTCTTTAGGCTAGCATTCGAAAATGCTTTATCTCTAGATACATAATTAAGAAATGACCTTTTACCTTGTGAAATATAGAGATTTTTAAATATATATATATATAAGCTCATCCCGATGTTATACTCATCAAGACCTTTCATTTGAGTACCCACATCAATTTTTCATATATTTATATATTTATATATTTCACAAATACCATATATATATAAAATATATAAAAAATACCATGTGGGTACTTAAATGAAAGGTCTCGATGAGTGTAACATCGAAATGAGTTTATATTTCAAAAAATGTCAATTATTAAGAAATGACATTGTATTTTGTGAACTATTGACATTTTTAAAGATATAAGCTCATCCTTACATTACACTCACCAAGATCTTTTATTTGAGTACCCACATCAATTTTTCATATATTTATATATATATTATACATATATGAAAAATATACCAAAAGTGCATGTGGGTACTCAAATGAAAGCTCTTGATGAGTGTAACATCAGGATGAGCTTATATATTTATAAATATCAATATTTAAGAAAGTACAGTGCAATTTAACAAAAGTTATTATTTAATAAACCAAAATTTGATTTATTTATAGTTCACAAGTCACGGCTGTCACATATAATAGTGACTGCAAGGTTGCTAGTTTTTTGTATGCAAATTTTTTTACCTCAGTAAAAAATCAATACTCACGTTTCCTTATTAACAATATTTAATATCCTTGGATTATTGGTAATACTAATAGCTCGTGTAATAGCCTCAATAATATGTGGTACCTCAAGAATTAAATCACCCTAAAAAAAAAAAAAATTAAAATTTTCTATATTAAACCGAAAATATTGGTCGTATAAAAAATGTTTTAAATAAAACTTATTCAAAATTAAATTTTATATAAAAAATGTCTCTTATAGTTTTTTTTAGGACCAATAAAAAATCCTTAATTTCAAAATTAAAATTTTTATGAGCTTAAATTTAATAATTACTTATAAATCTTATCCATCAAAAAATATCAAGAGAATCAATTTTTACTAAAATTAAATCACAAAAATTTATGTTCAAAAAATTTTTTTATACTCCATGAGCTCAAAAAAAAAAAAAAAACTCAAAAATTACCTTATCTTTTTTAAGTTCCGGCGGAATCCTAACAATCATTAAATTATCAGACTCCCCAGTAACAACAATCTCCAGAATATTCTCATAAGGCAGCCGATGTTTAAGCTTAAAACTCTTGGCAGTATCCAAAATATAAACCGCCTTCCCAGTAAGAACCAAGATCCTCTCCCTCGGCTTATACCCATGGCGATCATACTTAACCACCGGAGTAGCATACTCCACCCTCTCCTCCCCCCCAATCCCCCCAAAACTCTGTTTAACCCCCCTGAACTCCTCCCCCAGCCTCTCGTTCAAAAACCTGGGCCCGACACTCTTCAAATAAGACTTCTTCTTATCCTTAAACAACTTCTCTGCAAGTACCTTCAGCTCAAACTGCTCCTTGTCCTCTTTACTCAACCCCAGACAATACTTCCTGGCCTTCCACACTCTATACACCTCCCTCAAATACTCCGAAGCTTCCTTACAAGCATGAGGACAAGCCGGCCAGTAATTATTAAGCACCCCCTCCGGTAGACTCTTACTCAACCTAACCAACCACTGAGCCTTGGCCAGTTCAATAAAAGCGACATTCACATCATTCGGCGGGTCATTCCTAGTAATAAACCCTTTAATAAATTTCTTCAACGTATCCACAGCTTCGCGCCTTCTTTTAGCCTCTCTTTTAGCCCTCCACCTTCTAACATACTTCTCAAGAACAATTGCAGCTTTCTTCATCCTCAAAAATTCCCTCCGTTGCTTCCTGCCCTTCCACTTGCTCTGAATAATCGCCGCAATGTCATTCTTTTTTTTCTGAAAATTATCCTCAGTATCAAACAGCGTCTTCGGGAAGCGAATAAACAGCTTAGTATTCCCCATTTGGTATTCATTATCCTCATAGCCCAAACTGTCCACCAAAATTTGGACACCTTCCTTAGCACTTCCTCCAAAACTCGGCCAAGTTTTATCACAAAGTGATTTATACCTCTGCAAAAACTGCTCATAAGGTCTCCTGTAAGCAAATCCAGCTCTTCTGACCCTCAAATTTTCCATCAGGCCCAAATATTTAACCTGATGCGAGACAATTTTTTCATTAAACTGCCCCGAGATTTTAAAATCATTTGGTTTAATGCATCTAATATAAGACGGCTCTTTTCCCATTAAAATATCCACTAAATTATTCAGACTATTTTTAAACTGCGTAACAGCAGTATCTGGCCTTTTTTTGCTCTTCAAATCTTTAACATCAAAAATCGTCCTTGTAATTGAATTACTAGTATGCGACATGACCTCCCGGAGATCTCTAAAAAGCAGGTCATTATTTTTTTCCAAAAATCCGCGAACATTGTAAGTAACATTGCCGGCGTAGTGGATTAATCTGAACTCATCTCTCCCCATAATTTTTTGGGTTTGAATATCAGCCTTCTGGTGGCTGATGTAATGATTGTGATTACTTAAATTACAATTTAACTTATCTAAAAAGCTAAGATCCGTCGGCTCTCCGGGACGAAGACACTCTTCGTCCATTAGGGAAATAATTCCCTTGTACTTTTCTTCAATTAAATCGCAGATTACTTTGTTGTTAAAATAGTCAATGTGCTCCCAGGTGATTCCTTCGCGTTGATATTCCTCCTGCTCGCTGCGTAAGGTCAATTGTATGAACAATTGTTGGAGCTTCTCGTTGCAGTAATTTATGCAGAATTGTTCAAAGCTGTTTTTTTGGAAGATTTCAAAGCCGTAGATGTCCAAAATTCCGATCACGTTGGTCCTCGAAGGGTAATTAGAGTCAAATTGAAGGGATTTATTCAGCCGAGCGACTAGCCAGGTGAACAGGCGGTCGTAGACTGCCTTAGCGAGCGCATCCCGGGCGTAGATAGCCAACTCGCGGTTTAGGGGAGAGATTACTACGTCTCCTTGGGCGTTTATGGTGCGCTGGGTAAAGGCTTTGGCTAATTGGTGGACGTCGCAGCCGACTAACGAGGCGATGGCTTCTACTGAAGCCGGCTTGAGAATCTTCGCTTGGCCTTCTTCTTCGGTGAAGCCCACGTTGCCCATGTGCAAAATTGAGGCTACTATTGAAAAGATGTCGTCTTGCTCTTGTTGGGTCAGTTCTACGGTCTCCATTGCTTCTATTACGCGGTTGTATTGAGTGACGTCGTCGATTGTGTCCACGGAACCTTTTGTGCCGTTGCTTAGGTAGTAATAGGTATCCAGGTTGCGCTTTAGGAAGAGTTTGTGGAGGGTGGAGTCGCTGGCACCGGCGAGAACCTGGTAGAAGATGTGGAAGTTTCGCTCGCCGGATGATTGGTGGATTACGCGGGATTTTTCGAGGAGGTAGTTTAAGATGTTTCCTCCCACTGGATCACCCTGGAAGTTTTTTTATTTATATTATTAAGAGAAAACCTTTTATCTTGTGAAATATTGACATTTTTTTTAGATATAAGCTCATCCTGATGTTACGCTCATTGAGACCTTTCATTTGAGTACCCACATCAATTTTTAATATATTTCATATATTTTATATATTTATATATATGTATATATGAAAAATATATCAAAAATGCATGTGGGTACTCAAATGAAAGCATTGCAGTCACATAGTAACTGCAAAGTTGCTAGTTAATTATTAATTAGCAATCTGCTGTCGAGATTTACGGATTATGAATTAGAAAATTTTGGCTTGATGATTTTTTAATATTTATGACACTATGCATAGTTTGGGGACTAATTAAATAAATTAAAAATTTTTTATTAGAAATTTTGTTAAAATTTTTTTATTTTAAATTTTATTTAAAGCTTTTTAATAAAAAATTTAATTTTTTCAAGCATTAGGAAAATTATTTAAAGATTGTAAGTACTTGATCAAAAAAAATAATTTTTTAATTAATTTTTTTAAGAATCTTTTTAAGTGATTGATATATTAGGTCTCGACCTTTTTAATGATCCTCAATTTTAATTAAAAAAACTCATCATATAAATACACCAAAGACAAAATTTTTTTCATCTTAATTAAATAGACTCACTTGAAAATCAAATTGTATGTCCATATATTTCCCAAATCGGGAGGAATTATCATTTCTGTTTGTTTTGGCATTGCCAAACGCCTCTAGCACAGGATTGCTGCCGATCAATTTAACATTAACAGCCTCGACTTGCTTTTTGTGGCCAGTTGCTGCGGCAATAAACTCTAGCACCTTTTTAGACGCTTCTGTTTTGCCGGAACCGGATTCTCCTGATATCAAAATACACTGGTCCCGATTTTCTTTCGTCAACGCGCGATAAGCCGTATCAGCCAGCGCAAATCTATAAATAAATAAAGAATTGTTACAATCTCAGGAATATAAAAAATAAAAGCAAGGTAATTTCTCTTTTTTTTTTTTTTTCCAACCAACTTTTATTTATAATTGCAATTATTTTTCTTGATGAATTGTAATTGTACTTACATGTGCGGTGGTGCTTCAAAAAAATTTCTCCGCTCATAATATTCAATAGTGCTTGTATCGTAAATCGGTAGCCATTTGTATGGGTTCACTGATACTAATACTTGTCCGATGTATGTCTGTAAAAATATAAAATAATTAAACTTTGACCTTGATTTTTTTAAGTCCACTTGACTTCGAACCACTAAACTCTTATCAAACGGAATGTTTTTTTGTTTTTTTAATTTTAGTTATTACTCACTACTTTGCGATAAAAAGTTAATTATATAGGACTATTTTTTTTTTTAATTAATTAAAAGTTTTTTTAATTTTTTAATTACAAAAAAAATTTATATTAATAATCTTCAAAAATATCAGCCGATTTCAGGATCACATTTTTAAATATAATTTATTAGAGCTAATTTATTTATTCAATAAAATAAAAAAATAATTTTGACTTAACTTTTCAAGGTCAATTTTAAAAAGCTCAAAAAAAATATTCTAACTTAAAAAATTAAAATAACTTACATAAATAAGATTTTCTCGAAATCTTTTTTTCAAATTTTCAATAAAAGCCTGCTCATTTTGAAAATCTTCAAGAAGCACAAAATCCTGAACACCAACCCGATCTCGTTGGTGAAGATCACGTTCCATGCTGCCACCATAAGTCGGCAGCGATGGTTTTTCCAAATAGTTTTTTTCCTCTCTGCTGAAACAAAGAAAATTATAAAAAATAAAAATTAATTTTTACTGTTCCAAAAATAACACTTAAGTTAGCCGAAGTTTTTAATTTTTTTTCAGCAATTAAATTAAACAAAAAAATATTTTTAAAAAATTGCACTAAAAGTTTTAAAAGTTTTTTACAAATGCAATTTTTTTAATATTTTTTTGTAATAATTTTTTCAATAAAAAAAAATTCTAAAAATTTTTAGACGGTTAACTTAATTTTCGTGTTTCTAAAAATTAATTAAAAAAATTTTCTACTTGTCATTTTTTTATTAATTAAATTAGAACTCAAAAAATATTTTTAAAAAATTGCACGTATAGTTTTTAAAATTATCTACCTACATATGAAATTTTTTTTTTATTTTTTAAAAATTATTATCCAATAAAATAAATTTATAAAAATTTTTAAATGTCGGCTAATTTAATTTTCAATGAAAATTTTCATTTAAAAATTTTTATAATTTTTTCTATTAAAGAATTATAACAAAAAAATTTTTTTCATTTGTTAAAAACTTAAAAAACTATAAGTCCAATTTTTTAGAACTATTTTTTAGTTATAATTTAATAAATTAATCAAAAATGTTAGCTAACTTTAGTTATTTACAAAAATACAAGCCTTGAAGACTGCAGACTAGATAAACAGATTAATTGCGATTAGATATAATAACTTATAATTTCTACAGGTATTAATATCCACAAAAATAATAAATATATATTATAAATTTAAACGTGTACCGAACAGTAATTACTTTACAACCGATTGATCTGTTTAATCCTCAAATAAATAATAAATAAATAAATTTAAAGCTTGAAAAGTGATAAAAGGATTAAAAGTAAGAAAGTTTATATTTATTATTTTATTTATAAGCCCGTTATCAATTATTTGTGATGACTTACCGCGTATCCGTCATGATAAAAATTGTTTTTTGAAAATAAAATTAAAATATCAGTAAATTGAATTTTATTAGAGAAAATTGAATAATAATAAAAGTGTAACAGATGTAAAAAAAAGTTTGATTGTAACACGTTGATACTTGATGTCTAAATGAATCGAATCTGGTATCGCGTAAGTGTTTAAAGATAAGATTAAATTATCTTGATTGTTTTTTTATGCCTTTTATTATATTCTTCAAATTGTTCTCGATATAAACTACTAGTGTGTTGCTATTACAGTGTATGCCGTTGTTTATATGTGTTTGTTGTTTGTAAAAAGTTTATACATACATGTTTGTATTTTATTGTTGTCCTCTGTATTGTTCTACTTGTATATGTATGATGGTTTTTATTTTAGAACGTGTTAAGTTGATTTGACAATTGTAATAATTAAATATTGAGACGTTAATTTAGAGGTATAAATTATTTAACGAGCCAATTTCACGCATATGTGCGGAGTTTTAAATCATAACTAATTTTTATTTATGATTTATGACTTATGATTCATTGATAAAAAATTTATTTGGAAAGTGTTTAATATTTTTTCTGATTTATCAATTTTTTTTTTCTTTAATATTTACATTAAATTTAATTTAGCTGTCACTTGAAAATTTTTTTATTTTTTTATTTTGCTTAATTTAATAAATTATAGCTAAAAAAATATTTTTAAAAAATTGCACTTATAGTTTTTCAAGTTTTTAACAAATGACAATTTTTTTTGTAGTCATTTTTTTAATAAAAAAATTATTTTTAATTTTTAAATGTCGGCTAACTTAATTTTCTTCAAATAAATTTATTTAAAAAAAAATGCATTTTTTTTTTTATTTTATAAAAATAAAATTAGCAGATAGCTGACAATTTTCAGAATTTTTTTAAAATAATTACAAAAAAATTAAAAGAAAAAATTGCAGATGTAAAAAATTTGAAAAATTATACGTGCAATTTTTTAAAAATATTTTTTTATTTCTCCACAATTGTTAAAAAAATTTTTAAATATCTAGTGAATTAATTTTTATAATATTTACATACAAATGTAAGTTAATAAATTTTTTTTTGTAACTATACTTATAAAGAAAACATTTAATTGATATTTAAATTATCTGTACTTTCGTTTAACTGTTTTAAAATAAATTTTTATAAAATACGGCACACTTGTAACTTGACTGTTAAAAATTTTCTATTTATAATTTAATAGGAAATTTTATTTATAAAATAGATAAAATAAAGTTGTAAAATTTTATTTTTGTTTATTTAAAGATTTATATGCGTTGTAAATTATTGATAGAATTATTGTTTTTCAAAAAGTAGTTTATTGAGAGAAATTTTAGTATTAAAAATTCAGTAATTTATGTATAAATTATTAAAACTTGTATTTTAATTTTTAAAATAATTAATTAAACTGTAAAAAATTTTAATAATTTTTTTAGGATTATAAATTTTAATAAAAAATTTTTTATAAATCAAATTTAATTAAAAAAAATTTTTTACTCCGAAATTTTTATATTAAAAATTAATTTTAATTTATCAATTAACAGATAATAAATTATAATAATAATTTATAAAAATTATCTAATAAAAATGATTGATTATAGAGACTACAAATATAACTCTTGAATAATAATAATAATTAGTAACTATGAATATTATTTTACAAACAAATAATTAAAGGACATAATTATCAGTTTAGAAGGTGGAGAGATAACGGAAAAAGAGTACTATTGTATTGTATATTCATTGTATATAAGTAAAGGCATTTCCGGTTTCTATAAAAGACTGTCTGGAAAGGCTTATATTATTGTTATTATTATCATTATTCAACTACTGGAGCCTGAGAAAAATTTTATTCCCTGATTATTCGCTCATAGTCGATTAACTTTCACATCTTTTTACCACTATTTTATTTTTCTTCTCCATATGTATTTTCTCACAAATTTTTTTTGCCATTATTATATTTATATTTATCCTTTTGGACTCTTTGATGAGTTCTCGTAATAAGCAAATCGAGCGTTTAATAATAGAACAAAAACAATTTTACGGATCGGAAGTTGTAATTTTTATTTTCTTGTTATTTCTTCGCGTTGTAAGGTTCTCGTTCGGCCTTTTTTAACACATTTTAAACACTAGAGACATTTAAAGATTTTATGTACCATGAACTTGTAGTTGAAGTAAGTAGACAAGACCCAAACCGCTAGTTTTAAGGTATCAAGGTCATACTCGAAAAAAATACTTATATGCCTCAACCGGTTTTTTTCATCGGCTAGACGACATTTGCTTATTAATTTTTTTTTTTAATTGTAATTTTCTAATTTACTGGTTTTATTTTTTACTCCAATATTTGCAATTTATTATTATTATTATTATTATTATTATTATTATTATATTAATTATTATTGTATTATTATTAATAATAATATTATTATTTTAATTGAAAATAATTCTAAAGTTAGCCATTTTTAATTTATTGATCATATTTTAATTATTAGAACTAAAAAAGATTTTTTAAAAATTGCTCTTATAGTTTTTCACGTTTTTTTACAAATAAAATTTTTTTTTATTTATTTGTAATGATTTTTTCAATAAAAAAAAATTTCTGAAAATTTTTAGAATGTCTGTTAACTTAATTTTCATTTATTAAAACTATTTTTATTAAATGACAATTTAATTGAAAGACATTTTATAATTAAAAAAATTTTTTTAATTAATAAATTATAGCAAAAAAAATTTATTTAAAAAATTATTGTCATTTTTTTTAGACTGCTAATTTTTATAAAATTAATAACCTAAAAATATGATACTGAAGTTATAGCTGACAGCTGTCAATTTTTTTAAATCTTATAAAAAATCAATTACAATAAAAAAATTCTTTAATGAAACATTATTCATTTTTATGAAGTTCTTATAATAATAATAATAACAATTACAATTATTATAAATTAACAATTAAACTGCTTCTAATATTTTTGATTGTCAACAATTTCATTTCTTCTTTTTTAACAATCCAACTATACCGACTTTTTTAAAATTCTAAAGAATTTTTGAACAGCGCCCTCTCCCCTCCACTCTCCAAAAAATTCAGTTAAAATAATTCTAACGCATAATTTAAAAAAAAAAAAACTCAATAAAATTACAATTTAAAGAAGAATAAAAAAACTAAATTTAATTTCTTCTTTAAATATTAAAATTAATAAATTAAAAATATTAAAATAAGTAATTATGTGATATTTATTTAAAAACAAAATACCGGGTAAATTTCTTCAAATAAAAAAAATTAACCTTGAAATTAAAAATGGAATTTTCTAAGAATAATTTTTTAGAACAAATTTTTTTGTTAAATAAATATAAAAAATAATCAAGTGACTGCTAACTTTATTGTCACTAATTGTTTTAACAAACTCTGTTAAAAAAATAAGTTTTTAAAACATTGAGTTTTTAATTTTTAAAAATTTCTCCATTTTTTTTTTACAAAAATTATAAAATCTCTGCTAAAATAATTTTCACAAACAAAACTAAAAATTATCTTTAAAACTCCAATCGCAATCGTTCATTTTTTACGATCCACAGAAATAACTTGCAACAATTCTCAGAACAAGGATCATAAACGTAAAACAAATTTAAAAAAGATGGTAAGATTCGTTTTGACTTGTGCTCTTCAGTAATTGGCCATGTCATTTTTTATCCTTTACAAGTAAAGTAAACTTAACGACCCTCGAACAATTTTCTCTAAAAAAAATCTATTTTATTTCTTCCAGATTATACAAAATTGCGCTACTATTTTACAATACGAAATCCAAGTGAGTTTGGTTAGTCAGAGTCCAACGGCACGTATAAAAATACTTCTTAAGGGCGGATTTTGGTATAAAAAAAAAACACGAGGTCAGATGAGTCATATAAGTTGTCATTTTAAATCCACATATGAAAATATTCAATAGATAAATAAAACTTATCAGTTTCTATTGGTCACATGTAGCCGTTATCTTTCAAGGTAAGTCCACTTAATATAAAAAAACTATCCTACAAAAATAATAACATGCATAATACCTACTGAAGTTAGCCGTCAGCTATTAATTTTAAAAATTAATTACAATAAAAAAAAATACTTCTAAAAATTTTCACTTGTAATTTTTATTAATTTCAACATATGGATTTTTTTAATTAAATTTTTTTTTTATAGTAATTTAATATAATACTTAAATTAGCCGACATTTTTAATTTTTTTTTCAATAATTAAATTAGAACAAAAAGATATTTTTTAAAAATTGCACTCACAGTTTTTAAAGTTTTTTACAAGTGCAAATTTTTTTTTTATTTTTTTGTAATCATTTTTTCAATAAAAAAAAATTCTAAAAATTTTTAATTCATTTTCATTAATTTAATAACTATGAAATTCTAAAAAAATTTTTAATGTAAATTATGTTCAAAGAAATTGAGAAAAAAAAATTGACATTTCGAAAATTAAAAAAATAAAAAATGCAATTTTTTAGAAATAATTTTTTGGAGCAAATTTATTTATTAAAAAAAATAGTCAAGCAATTGCTAACTTTAATGTCTTAAATATTTTATGAAAATTAATGTAACACATATTTAATAATTTTAAAAATTTATTAACAAATAAATTATGGCAAAAAAAAAATAAGAAAAAAAAGTGACATTTAGAAAATTAAAAAAATAAAAAATGCAATTTTTTAGAAATAATTTTTTGGAGCAAATTTATTTATTAAAAAAAAGTCAAGCAAATGCTAATTTTAATGTCTTCTATTTTTTTTTTTTTAAATTGCACTTAAAGTTTTTCAAGTTTTTTACAAATGAAAATTTTTTTTTATTTTGCAATAATTTTTTTAATAAAAAAAAATATCAGCAAACTTAATTTTAATAACTTCAGTGTCATTAACATGTACTAGTATTTTTTCTAAATATTTACATTATTAGTTTAAATGATTTCAACCATATAAATCAAGAGCTTGAAGCTAAAGCTAAAGCTAAAGCTAAATCTAAAGATCAAGATATAGAAATCATACCGTGACTCACTCAACTCTCCAGATGTACCCGATGCATCAATTAAAACCATTCAATCTTACAAATGTATATAAATACACAGTTAAATACTTAGGCCAATATAAATTGCACTTTACTTTCTACTTACAATAAATCAAACCATCAAAGTCTCCAGGTAATTAAAATATTTCATTTATTTTTTTCAGTGATTAATATTTTATGTTATCCAGGAACTAGTTAACAAGTTGTTAACGTAATGAGGTCCGCGACCCGGTGACCGGTCAATCTAATAAAGATTCCGACGTTAGAAAGGTCTCTGGACAATGTACGGTAATTTTAATAATTAATTAATAATTAATAACACTAGGATAAATTTTAATAAATAAATCAACGGTGTTTTAAAATGACCTGCAGAGCACGTTGCCGATGTGTAACTAACGCACGGGATATTGAGACGACCATGAAGAAACCAAACGTTTCCCCACTCGTCTTACAAGGCTCACTACACTACCATACATTTAATATTACCCATACGCTCTTACGGATGTTAATATAAATGTACACCAGTTTAGTCATTGTGAGGAACAGAAAGAAGAAAGAGGATCCATGGTGTGGAGTGTGGAGTGGTGAGTGTGTTGAGAAAATAAAAACAGAGAAGCGGTGCATCAAAACATTATTAAGCGGTACCATTTAAGAGTGCCCTCATTATCCCTTTCGGCTTTTCACTTTTATTCAGCATTAATTAGAAACTCTTACAGTTAATAAATATTGCATGAAAATCAATTTAGCAGATATTTGATAATTTTAAGAATTTTTTTTTTTTAATAGATTATATGACAAAAAAATTAACAGAAATTAAAAAAAATTAATAATACAATTTTTTTGTTAAAAAAAATTAAAAATTTTTAAGTGACAGCTAAATTTAATGTCAAAGATTTTTCATCTATATTAATAAGAGAATAAGAAAAATTTTGTATGGATAGTCATATGATAAAATCGGTTTTTTTAGTGAAATTTAGGCTGCATTTAAAAATCCTCTATCTATAGATACATAATTAAGAAATGACCTTGTATCTTGTGAACTCTTGACATTTTTAAAGATATAAGTTCATCTCGATGTCACACTCATCGAGACCTTTCATTTGAGTACCCACATCAATTTTTTCATATATTTATATATATCTACATATATTATATATATGTATATATATGAAAAATATATAAAAATGCAAGTGGGTACTCAAATGAAAGCTCTTGATGAATGTAACATCAGGATGAGCTTATATCTTTAAAAACGTCAATATTTAAGAAAGTACAGTGCAATTTAACAAAAGTCATTATTTAATAAAGCAAAATTTTATTTTAATGTCATAAATACTAAACTCTTAATTGCATAATTAAAGTAATCACGTAAATATTCTCCGAGTAAAAAAAAGTAATTATTGAATTGAATGTCTATCAGCTTGTCTAGAATCTAGACAAATAGCCTATTATCTTTATCTGTATCGGTAAATTGTGTTCTGTGTTTTGTTTTCTGTTCACCTAGAACCCGATGAGTCAAGGATAGAGAGGGTAAATGTATACGAGGGTCAAGTCCACCGCACCAACGCAACCCCTCGGGTAGTTGCTAGTGGACAGTACTTGTGGACAGTCTGTTCTCCTCTGCTGAAATTTAATTTTAAATGCGAGGTATTTATTTTACAAAGTAAGTAATATTTTTATTTATTTATTTATTTTATGTTTATAATATTTATTCCATTATTTGTTTATTTTTTTTTATTAGTGTCGGAAATAAAGTGACGGATGGTGCTGTTAAAAAGTCCATCACCGCAACGCCGCGGTAATCGCATTAGCAACAATCAGCATCAATTAAATGGCTCGCCAACGCGTCAATTAAAGAACCCATCTCCTACGTCGAAAGATTTGCCACGAAAATCACGTGGAAACAGTCCTGGTAGCAGGTCTACTGGTTCACGAGGGAGCAGCCCTGCTAAGGCGTCTTCTGTTGGATCTAAAAAGTCTATCAGATCGCTGGGCTTGCGTAAATCTGAGTTAGTATTTTTTATTTTAATATTTTTTTTTAAAATTATAAATTCAAAATTTTTTTAAAAATAATTTTCTAGATTTTTTTTCTATAAAAAAAAATTGTTTTAATTTCAGTGTTATTTATTTTAAAATTAAAATAAATAATAACTAATTTTAAAATTAGTTATTAATTATTTATTTTAATAATAAAAATAAATAATTTTTTTTTTAATTATAAATGCAATTTTTTTTAAATAATTTTTTAATTTATTTTTTTATAAAAAAAAATTATTTTAATTTCAGTGTCATTAATTTTAAAATTAGTTATTAATTATTTATTTTAATTATAAAATAAATAATTTTTTTTTAATTATAAATGCAATTTTTTAAAAATAATTTTCTAGATTATTTTTTTCTAAAAAAAAAATTGTTTTAATTTCAGTCTCATTAATTTTAATTTTAAAATAAATAATAACTAATTTTAAAATTATATTGATTTTAAATTGATAAGATTTGTTTTTTAAAAGCAAAATTTATCGCGTGTAATCGCTGGAGTTATTGACTCGAATAAAGAAAAAAAAAAAAATTACAATGCGTTTGTCTACATTTAGATCTAGGACATAGATCAAACGTTGTCATCATGACTAGAGTTAATATAAAATATATCTATGTATCTATCCATTTATATTTATTTTATGTTTACTTGGAAAAAATTCTTGGACAATAACTCTTCAAAGCTTTTGTAGATTCACGGAGAGTTTAAGCCTTTGACGGAGACAGACATTGAGAAATGAATAAAAGAGATAGCTTGATGTCACAGGGGTGTAGTAATGTTTTATTACATGCTTAAAATATCGATTGTTAGTCGTAAGACCTTGTATGTTCGTGTCTACGTAGCAATCGATATCGAAATACTTATATTCTTCTTTAGTGCATCGATGTATGTTTTTGTTAATGTATAACATTAATGATATTATGAATTTGTGTGAAAGCACTTTACTATCATTACTAGGTATGTACTGTGACGTACTAATGACATTTAATATAAGTTAATGTAAAGTTGTTAATTTACTTTTTATTATTTTAACTTCTTTGAACTTTAACTTCATTGTTATTGTTATGATATTGAATTTTATACTGCGTTATTTATTATTATTAAGAAAATAAGCAACATTTTAGATATAGAATTAAGAAATGACCTTGTATCTCGTGAACTATTGACATTTTTAAAGATATAAGCTCATTCTGACGTTAGGCGACTGCTTGGCCGAGGGGTTAAAGTCTTAAACTGCCGCACAGCAGTCGCTCAGGCGTGGGTTCGAGCCCTGGCAATTGCAATTTTTCTTCTGCGATTTCCGGGGCTTGCTCCCTTGCCGACTGTACCTTGACCAGGTTTCTGTGGTTTTTCCTCGGTCATTGTGCCCCTAAAATAAGCGGGGCACAGGCAAATGCGGGTACAGACTGTAAGCCGGCCACAGCCGCAAAAACGGAGGGTCCTGTTACAGGACTATATAGGAGGAATAGCTACAGGAGGAAATAGCTACAGGAGGAAATAGCTACAGGAGGAAAATAGCTACAGGAGGAAAATAACTACAGGAGGAAATAGCTACAGGAGGAAATAGCTACAGGAGTAGCTTGGAGGAAGCCTGGTACTGCGAAGTAATGCTAACGCGGTCCCGCAGTATCAGGTACAAGAGAGGGGAGGGTTTTAGTGAGTAAGAATCTCACACTACCGGCAACCAATATCTCCAACATCTAGCCGGTGTCTTATGAAGATTTCCCTCCTCTCGCCAAAAAAAAAAAAAAAACAAAAAAAAAAACGAACTCAGGCTATATAGGATATATAGGGATATTCGGGATGAGCTGATATCTTTAAAAATGTCAATATTTAAAAAAGTACAGTGCAATTTAACAAAATTCATTATTTAATAAAGAAAAATTTTATTTATAGTTCACATAGTGACTGCAAGGTTGCTAGTTAAAATTAATCCAAATTAATTATTTTTCAGGTAATTAATTATTGTTTTATATAAATTAAAAACTCCACAATTCTGATGATGAGTAACGCGAAAATGCCAGCGTGACTCTGTGTACTTTCGCGATAATAATCGCACGTGTTCAACAATTTCCATCTCATGCTCATAGACGTCGACGATTATCGGTGACGAGGAAAAAAATTCATGTGGGAATTACTTGGAATTTTTTTTTACTACCATTTATTTTATTTTAACTCATACAGGAATTGATTGAGATAACAATTTGCGAAAGTTTTTTAATGGCTGATAAGATAATTACAAATAAGCGGGTTATGATAATTATTTAGAAATAGTGAAGGCTATAACTTATTTATATTGTTGACTAATTATCAAAATTAAACCTGTGGGTTGTTTATTTTAGCTACCCTTGAGAGTATGAATTTTAATTTTTTATTTTAAATATTGTTAACGATTAAATTATCTACTGTCGGGTAACGGTCACGTGCATTATCTTTTTATCGAAATAAAATAAGCTTATACTAATATTTAGATAAGCAGTTGCAGTGGACGTCACACCTGTCATGTTACCCCAGTGCACAGGAAAAAAATTGTATTAACTAAGTAAATATTAAATGTACAATATATTTATTATTTATTGTTATGGTTTATTAATAAGTTAATTTCATTGTGTTTTTTTTTTATGAATAATTTTATGAAAAAAGAAGTCAAGAATTGTAAAAAAAAAAATTTTTTTTTTAGGAATTATAAAAAAAATTTTTTTTTAATTTTTTATTATTTATTAAAGAGTAATTTAAAATAAAATATCAAAATTTTGGGCTTTAATATTTAATAATTAAAATTTTTTTTTATTAATTTTATTTTAAAATTTTGAAAAAAAATTTTTATTTAATAATTTTTTTTTTTAAATTTTAAAAACAAATTTTATTTAAAAATGAAAAAAAAAAAATTTTATTTTAAAATTTTAAAGACAAATTTTATTTAAAAACTTTGAAAAAAAATTTTTATTTAAAAATTTTAGACAATTTTTGTGTTAAAATTTTGAAGAAAAATTTTTATAATATAATTAAAAAAAAAAAATTTCTCAAAATTAAATCCTAATAAAAAATAATTTTTCATAAAAAAAAAAACAATTCTAAAATCCAAGAAGTTTAATAAATAATAAACCAATAAATAATCGATATTGCTAGTCAATCATTGGAGTAGAATAAATAACGAATGAAGGTCGATCGTTAGATTAGTCGCTTTAAGAAATCATCAATAAGTAAACGCACGCGATAACTCCATCGTTTTTATTTCTTCCTGATGTCAATAGACTTTCCGTGAGCTGGATTTAAATATAAATATTTAATAGAATACACAGTAGCTCTTATCAAGCCAATCTGTGATTTTTAAACTACTTTGTATAATTTTCTTATTAAAAATATCATTCAAATAATTATAGATAATATTTATCGCGTGATTAATTACTAAATAATTAATCAAATGAATAAGTGTAATGATAGCTCTATAATTAAATAGTTTTATTACAGAAGCTTAAATAGTAATGTAGCGTGAGTTAAAATAACTTTAAGCTGCTCTCCAAAAATAACTTCTTAATTTTTTTTAGCGTTAAAAGAATAAAGCTCAGAGTAAGCTTTAAATAAAAATTTAAATTGAGTTAGGAGTGCTTAAATAAATTATAATAATTATAGAGTAATAATAGAAATATGATGACATATTATAAAAATATCTGTAATATAGTAATATATGAAGGAATAGAAGGATGCATATGTTATTTATCGATTTTAATGGTCTTGTTGTGCTGTAATACATGAAAAGATGTCTTTGAATAACGGTCAATGGCTTCAACAACCTTCAACTCGCTTATTTATTATTTTTATTTCTAGACGTAGACACTTTTTTGTACTTATGTCTATTTAAATGTCGCTTTTTATTTTTAAAGAGGAATAATAAAATTATTTTTTAATTGTTTGCAGATCTGGAAGCATTGAAAGGCTCACTGATGGAGATAAAAAAGTAATTGCCTCGAAACACCTTTTACCAGAAGATAACATCAATGTAGTCGTGAGAGTAAGACCTTTGAATAATAAAGAAATAAAGGCTGGAGAACAGTTCTCAGTCCATTTTCCAGGCAATGGACAAATTGAATGCGACACATTGCCTAATTCTACTGATAAAAAAACTAAATTGTTTTCTTACAATGTCGTTTTTGAACCCGCTGCGAGCCAAGATGATCTTTTGCAGTATTCGGGGATTAAGAAATTGATCGATATGACTATCGAGGGATTTAGTTGTACTGTTTTTTGCTATGGACAGACTGGTAGTGGAAAAACTCATACACTTACTGGTCCACCGGGTTTGGTAAGTTATTATTTATTTAAGCATTAGAAAAATTATTTAGATTATAAGTACTTGGTCGAAAAAAATTATTTTAGAATTATGGTTTTAAGGATCTTTTTAAGTGAATATAAAAATTAATTTATTAAAATTTTGAGTCTAACTAGAGAGCAGTCACTACATGACTGCTCAAAATTAAGGATTGTAAATGAGAAAATTTAGACTTGATGATTTTTTTATATTTATGACACTATACATAGTCTGGGTACTTTTTAAATAAATTTTAAAAATAATAGTGCTATCGCAGGATCAATTACTAATTATTTAATGGACAAATGTCACGGAAAAAATTTATAGAACCAACAAACTATTAAAAACTCCTCTAAAAACTTTAAATAAAAAATTGACTACTAAAAAATATATTAAACCAAAAGGCACTAATTCTTACTAAGACTATCGCTGAAAAAATATCAAACCCAATTTACGATAAAGATATACCCGTTTAAAATTTTTCTTAGTCTCTTAATTATATAAATTAATTTTTGACAAACCACATTGACATGTACAAAACAAAATAAATAAATAAACAATTATTGTTTATCGCGAAATTCTAATCTATTTATAACTACTTCAAAAATTTATCCTTACTCTGTTAACAATATAGATTAATTTATCTAATAAATTAAATATTTTTTTTTATAGTTTGACAACATGGATCATTATGCAGAAGATCATGGATTAATACTTCGTTCGTTCGTTTATTTATTCAAAATTCTACAAGAACGAAGTGACTTTAATTTTATAATCAAGGCTTCCTTTCTCGAAATTTATAATGAAAAAATAATAGACCTCCTTAATCCAGGAAATTCTCGAAAATCATTAGCAGTAAGATGGAGTAAAAAAACTCGAGGATTTTTTGTTGAAAATTTATTTACTGTTGAATGTGAAGAGCTGGATGATTTAATTGGTGTTCTCGAAGAAGGTATTTAATATAATTAACTTTATTTATAATTTAATTATTATTATTGTGTGTGAGTATATAGCAGTACTCAGCATTTGAATGTGTATTTAAATTTAAAAGGTATGAAAAATAGAGCAGTTGGTACGCACAATATGAACGAACACTCAAGTAGGAGTCATACTATTCTTACGGTACACATTAGATCTGAGCAACAAATGGAGAACGGTGTATTTATTTCAAAGCAAGGAAAAATAAATTTTGTTGATTTAGCTGGTAGTGAAATGACTAAGAAGACACAGAGTGAAGGCAAAACACTTGAAGAAGCTAATAATATTAATAAAAGTCTTATGGTTTTAGGTAAGATATTTAAATATTATTTTTAGAAAAAATTTTAAGTAAGTAGTCATTAATTATTTATGAATTTATTAGGCTACTGTATTTCATCATTAAGTGATGGGAAACGTAAGACTGGTCATATTCCTTATCGTGATAGTAAATTAACAAAACTGTTAGCCGATAGTCTAGCTGGGAACGGAGTAACATTAATGGTAATTAAATTTAAATAATAATAATGAATAAATTAATAAATAAATTAATTTTATTGTAGTAAAATAATGATTGATGAATAATTTTCTAGATCGCATGTATATCTCCAGCACGTTCGAATTTAAGTGAAACCTTGAACACTCTTCGATATGCAGCTCGAGCTAAGAGAATCCGCACAAAACCAATAATCGTAATGGACCCTAGAGAAGCATTGATCCTCAGTCTAAAACGAGAAAATAATGCCCTGCAATTGGAGAACGATCATTTAAAATCAGTGTTAAATTTTGACGCTCGTAGTCCTGACGAGCTTTACAGTCAAAAATATTATATTCAATCGCGAGAAGACCGGCGGACTGTCACTCCGCCTCAAGTAGACCTTGAAAAACTCGCGGAGCTGGAGCAAGCTGAGTTAACTCAGTTATTAAGAGCTTATATTGATGAGAGCGAAGCTCTGAGGCGGGAAAATGCTGAGCTTTATGCCACCCGGGAACAGGTGATAAGAGATCAAGAGCTTGTTTGTCGAGAGAACGAAAGGCTGCTGAAAAAATTAGAAGATGTTAACTCGTTAGTATATTTATATTAATTTTATTTATTTTTTATTTACCTCAGGGTAAAAAGGCTTCAAATTTTGAATAGTTTTAAGATAAAATTAACATGAATTATTTTTAAATTGATGAATTTTATTTTAAAATTTTGAAATCAAATTTTATTTTTTAATTTTGAAGGCAAATTTTTATTTTAAAATTTTGAAGATAAATTATCTTTTTAAATTTTGAAGCCAAATTTTTATTGAAAAATTTTGAAAATAAATTTTATTTTTAAATTTTGAAGCCAAATTTTATTTAAAAATATGAAATAAAATAAAAATATAAGTACTGAATATAAAATTAAAATTCCTAAATTATTTAAAATAAAATTATTATACTGGTCAATATTTGAAGCCCGATTAATATTTGATTTCCTTACTCACCTTGGTTACTAAAAATTTATTTACATTTATTTTTTAAGTAGAGTTTGTTGCCGTTCTCCAATAATTCCAGCGCGTCCGACGTTCTCAGCAGAGATGTTAAATAATTCACCTGACGATCTTCCTGGAGCGACAAATGTCTGGACGAATCCAAATTTACCCGATCCAAATGTAAATAGAAATTCAGTATCTCCAAAGCAGAGCAACGGGATGCCGACAAAAGTGTTAAAAGAATTAGACAAGCGGATAAATGGAAGCTTCAGCAATATTGCGGATGCATACAGAGATAAAAGTAATCATCGTCGTTACAGCTCCTGGGATAACGTTAACCCGACGGATGTCGAGCAAAACGGATCGCCTATCGAGATCAGCCAGTGAGTGTGAGCAATTTAATTATTTTTTTTATCATAATAATTACTATTATTAATTATTAGCAAAGATTGATGGATCATTTATTGATGTAGTCCGCGCAGGTCAGCATTTCGCAGGACGTCGACGGTGCCTGAAGAAAGAAGAACCTCCAAAGACGTCCTGGGCCCAATTGTATTTTCTCAGTCCTTGGACTCTTCACCAGACTCCGTTCTAAGCGGGCCGATGACTGAGGGATTATTTTCGACACCCAATACTGGAGATTCCGTCAACGCGACGACACCTTTTCCGCGGATAACTTCTTCTCCAATTCGCTCGAAAAGCCACGAGGGCAATAATAGAAGAAGCAATTCAGCTACGAATAAAGAACGCGTTGCTGCTAGACGGGCGTTTGGCAGTCCTGTATCTATCGATGACGAGGATGTCCATTTTTAATATAATATTTTTAGTACTTACGACAGTATGGCCTACGTTAGGCTAGATTACATTTAATATATTTATAATTTATTTTTATTTATTGATATATAATCTTTAATAGACTGCATAGTGTAATTGCTCAGATTTTTTTTTCTTATTTTTAATAATTTTATTATTATAAATATTTGTGTGAAACAAATTAGTTTGTATTTATTTAACTATACCTTATCTACTTTGTAAAATCATCTCATGTTTATGGTAGATAAAAAAAATATTTTTAGATATTATAAAAAATTATTATTAGATTAAGTTAAAATTTTTTTTTTAGTCACTATAATTTTTGTATTTTTTTATAAAAAGTATTTTTAATTTTTTTAACATATTTGTTCCAAAAAATTATTTTTAAAAAATTGCATTTCTTTACTTTTTTAAACTTAACTTGTCAATTTTTTTTGTTATGAATTTTTATTTTTAGATATGAAAAATTATATTTAGATTAAGCTAACATTTCTTTTTAGTCACTTTATAATTTTTTAATGACATTAAATTTAGCAGATATTTAATAATTTTTAGAATTTTCTTTAATAAATAAATTATGGCAAAAAAAAAAATATTAAAAAAATGGATTTATAGAAATTTTAATAAATTAGAAATGCAATTTTTTAAAACAAATTTTTTTGTTAAGAAAAATTAAAAAATTGTCAAGTGACAGCTAAATTTAATGTCATCTTTTTTAATTAAAGAAAAAAAAATATTTTTATAAATATGACATTAAAATTAGCAGTCACTATAATTTTTTTTAACAAATAAATTTTTTCCAAAAAATTACTTTTAAAAAATTGAATTTTTTAGTTTTTAATCATTTTTTTTTACTGAAAAAATTATTAAAAAAAATTTTTCATTTATAAAAAACTATAAGTGCAATTTTTAAAAAATATTTTTTTGTTATAATTAAATTATTAAAAAAAAAAACAAAAAATTAAAAACGTCGGCTAACTCTAGTATTATAAAATTGCATTTTTTCCTAATTTTTTTTTTTTAATTTTTTTTGACATTTGATAAAAAATTGACAGATAATTTAAAAAATTTTTCATAAAAAATAAAAAAATTCACTTTTAATTTAAAACTTTCCAAAATTTTCTAAAAATAAATAACCCAAAAAAAAAACTTAAAAATTTTCCGCGTAATTTATCGATTGTAAAAATCCAAAATGGCGCCAGTCGATAGCATATCACAGTGCGTCACCGAATCGAGTAGTCGCGGTCTAATATTTCCGGAGCTTAACTTCCATTTTAAATTCCCCATTTACCCACACCCCCATCATTAATAAAAAAAAAGTAAGTAAAATTCCAAAAACCACCTAAACTAATTAACCATTAACATAAACAATAATAACAATAATAACAAACTAAATAAAAACTATAATAACTAAAGTTGTAGAACTGGTGCTGCTGGCGGACGAAAGAGGCGACACGGGCTAGGCAACTACACAACTACATACTACAGTCGAGTCAGACAAGAGAGTGACGAAGCGGGACACAAAAGAGACAAGTAAGAAAGAACGCGAATTATTTTTTTTAATTAATTATTTCACCCTATCAATTATTATTATCTTTTCTTTCAGTTTACAAAAGCTATCTTTGGCATTAAAGCACTTTTTTAAAAATCTTTAGTATCTATTCCTTAAATTCCGCAGTTCTATCTAAACTAGGTGAGTAAAATAGCTAAGGTTAGAAATGTGTTTATAAAAAAAAAACCATATAAAAATAAATAAATTGTAAATTCTAGAAAGAGAACATAAAAACGGCACTTCTGTGGTCCGATGTCTAGTGTTGAGGTGGTGGAGAGTTCCGTTGACCCTCCAACCAAGAAGCGACGCGTTGCTGCTACAACGGGAGGTGCCGACGACTCAGTAAGCACGCCAATAATGGCCAAGAACGGCTCAACTCCTCAAACAAGAGGATCAGCTGGAGATGGAAGCACTAATTTACCAACAACCAGCGGAGACATCGACGAGGGACTGTACTCGCGCCAGCTGTACGTCCTGGGGCACGACGCGATGAGGCGCATGGCGTCCTCAGACGTTTTGATCTCCGGTTTGGGAGGATTGGGAGTCGAGGTGGCCAAGAACGTCATCCTCGGAGGAGTGAAGTCAGTTACGCTTCATGATAAAGTAAATTGCACTATTTCAGACTTGGGATCTCAATTTTACCTCACAGAAGCTGATATTGGTAAAAACCGAGCTGTAGCTTGCTACCAGCGCCTCTCCGAGCTTAACAACTACGTCCCGACCCGGTACCATGAAGGAGAGCTCGATGAAGATTTTCTAAAAAAATTCAAAGTCGTCGTACTTACAGAGACTACTTTGGAAGATCAGCTCAGAGTTTCTTCCATCGCTCGGGCTAATAACATCGCTTTGATAATTGCAGACACTCGCGGTTTGTTTGCTCAAGTGTTCTGCGACTTTGGTCCGGCTTTTACTGTCGTAGACACCACTGGAGAGCCTCCAGTTAGTGCTATGATCGCTAGTATCACTCGAGATGCTGAAGGAGTTGTTACTTGCCTGGAAGACACTCGTCATGGAATGGAGGACGGAGATTACGTCACTTTCTCAGAAATCCAAGGAATGACTGAGTTGAACAATTGCGAGCCCAAGAAAATTAAGGTCCTAGGTCCTTATGCTTTTTCAATTGATGATACTTCGTCCTTCAGCGAGTATGTAAGAGGGGGAATTATTACCCAGGTGAAAATGCCGAAGGTGGTTAACTTTAAGGAACTTGGAGAGTCTCTACGACAGCCGGAATTTATTATGACTGACTTTGGAAAGTTTGATCATCCTGAGCAGCTGCATTTGGCTTTTATTACTCTTCATGAGTATGTTAAAACTCATGGCAAGTTCCCGAGAGCATGGAATCAAGAAGATGCTGATGCTTTTGTTGCTTTGGCGGAGACTGTTAAGGCTAAGCATGGAATTGAAACTGAAGTTAAGAAGGAATTGTTGGAGACTTTTGCGAAAATTTCAGTGGGTAATTTCAATCCTATGAACGCTATTATTGGGGGAATTGTTGCTCAAGAAGTCATGAAAGCTTGCTCAGGTAAGTTATTATTATTTTTATTTATTGGCCAGAGTCTAAGGCCGTTTATTATTACACAAATAATAATAAACATTACAATAACAAAATGAAAATTCAAAAAAAATTAATGAACATTTTTGATACCATAATGTGATAAACAATATGAACAATTTCAATACTAAGGTAAAAGCCTCGATTATTGACACTATAAGAGACAAAGTTATGATTTGATTTTTTTAAAAATCAAATATCAATATTAATTTTGTTTGTGGTAATGTCCCAAGTAATGTTTTTACTAATCAAATTTTCTAAAATGATAATCACTGATATTTACTAATTAATTTTAAATAATTAAATAGATTATCCGGAGATAGCAATTATTGGCAGGTTAAAAAACTGATTGATCTAATTATTGACATACCTTCACCCCAATTATTGACACCTATACTAAGCATGCCTACAATCATCTGCTTAGTCTTATTTATCCAAACTTATTATTAAGTAATCAATTTTATTAAAGTTTATTAATAATAATTTCCATAAATGATTAATGACTTTAAAAAATATAAAAATTAATTTTAAAATAATTTATTGAATCAGAAGAGTTCAAACTCTTACAGTTAATTTTTTAGATTAAAGTCAAAAAAATGCGTCTTAACGCTGTCGAATGGCTGTCAATATGAGATTCAACTTAAAAAGTATCAACTAGTTATTGACACCCACTATTTAAATATAATAAAGGAAACAATTAATTTCGATTATTCAATTTTATAAATTTTTCATATATTGTTAATTAAAAAAAAAAAAAGATGATATTATTAGATGAAGAAATGAATTTAAACTCGGCATTTAAAAAAAAATGCTTTTCTAATCAAAGTTGTTAAGAAAATAAACGTTCATGGTTTGATCTGGTGCTTTTATTTTTTTTTAATAATTAATATTTAATATCAACTGACAGTAATTTTTTTCAATTTTTTAATTAATTAGAAATAAAAATTTATGATAGTTATTCTTATTACCGATAAATATATTTAAAAATAATTTAGGGTATCAATATTTAGTCCCCTGTCAATAATTGGGGTTTGTTTCTTACTTG